TCCTCTCTTCCTTCTGGTGTCTTCTCCGCTCTCTATGTCGATGATCTTACCCTTTGTTGTCAGGGTGATGATTCGCCTTTCCTTCAACGCCGGCTTCAACTTGCAATTGATGCCGTGTCGTCTTGGGCCACTGATCATGGCTTCAAGTTCTCTACTTCTAAGACTTGTGCCATGACATTTACGCGGAAACGGGTTCTTCGTCCCTCTTTGTCACTTTATGGTCATCCCCTTGAATACAAAGATTCCACGAAGCTTTTGGGGTTATTCCTTGACACTCGTTTGTCTTGGTCTCCCCATATCTCTTACCTCCGTGTTGAGTGCTCTAAGGCCCTTACCCTCCTTCGGGTCTTGTCCCATACTTCTTGGGGGGCAGATAGGCGCACTCTCCTTGCTTTACATTCTTCTCTCGTCCTGTCTAAGCTCGATTATGGTTGCCCTGCTTACTCGTCTGCTTCTCCTTCTACTCTTCGCCGTCTTGATGCTTTGCACCATACTGGGTTGCGCCTCAGTTCTGGTGCCTTTCGTTCGACTCCCGTCCTTAGCTTGTATGTTGACACTGGCTTCCTGTCTCTCCAGGACCACCGTGATCGCTACTGTCTTCGCTATGTTGCGCGGTCCTTGCAAGATCCTTCCTCTCGCCTCTGTCGTGCTTTAACTTTTACCCCTCCTGCGGTTCCTGTTCCTCTTCACCACCTCCCTCTTTCTGTCCGGTTATCTCGCCTGCAGGATTCTCTTTCCGTTCGTATTTCTGATGTTTCTCCTCGTGTTGTTCCTTCTTTGCCCCCGTGGAGGGTCCCTCTTCCGCGGTTTTGTACTTCCTTGACCCGTATCACTAAAGCTTTTACCCCTCCTACGGTTCTAAAACGCCTTTTCCTCGAGCACTTTTCTTCTCACTCCCGCTCCGTTTCTGTCTTCACCGATGGGTCTAAGTCAGCGGACGGTGTTGGCTACTCTGTTGTTTTTCCTGATCGCACTTATATGTGTCGCTTGCCTCCGGAGACTAGCATCTTTACAGCGGAACTTTATGCTATTCTCTATGCTCTTCGTCTCCTACTTTCTCGTTGTCAGTCTTCCTTTGTAGTTGTTGTTGACTCTCGTAGTGCCCTCATGGCTCTCGGGTCCTTTAATCCAGTTCATCCAGTGGTTGTCGAGATCCAGCATTGGCTGTTTCTCGTTCATAGTAAATTTAAGTTGGTTGAGTTTTGTTGGGTTCCCAGCCATATTGGTGTGTCTTTAAATGAGCGTGCGGATGCTGCCGCCAAGGAAGCTGTCCGCTCTTGTCCCATCTCTCGTAAGGGCATTCCGTATTCCGACTTTTACCCGGTTATCCATTCCTCAGTCCTTACCCGTTGGCAGGCTTCTTGGTTGTCTGTTACTGGTAACAAGCTACGTACTCTTAAATGTTGTGTTTCCTCGTGGCAGTCCTCCTTCCACCGTAACCGGCGGTGGGAAACAGCTCTGGCGAGGTTGCGTATTGGCCATACTCGCTTAACCCATGGTCACTTGATGGAGCGCCGCCCTGCTCCTTATTGTCCTAGTTGCATTGTCCCTCTTACGGTCGTGCATGTCCTTCTTGAATGTCCTGACTTCCAGGACGAGCGTATGTCTTGCTTTCCGACCGCCCCTCGCGGTCACCTGTCCCTCGATAGAATTCTTGGTGACTCGGATACTTTTGATATCGTTCGCCTTATGCGTTTTTGTTCTCGTATTGGCATCCTTGGTGATATTTAGCGCCCTCTGATTATTTTGCGTATTTGATGGTGCTACATAGCCTTCCCGGTTTGGTGCCTTCTTTTGATAATTACTTACTTACTTACTATGTTGTGCATTAAGATACTCTCTAAATTTCTCAATATGACATTGGTCCCTAAACAACAAAAAAGTGTCATCTACATATCTCCTGTACAAGACTGGTTTAAAGGCCGAAGGACAATTATCAAGCCAATTTATTTCGTGAAAACTCAAAAAAGCATTAGCCAGTGCAGGACCTAAAGGAGACCCCATTGCTACTCCATCAATTTGTTTATAATAAATATTATTAAACATAAAGATGGAGTCTTTAACTGCTATTTCTAACAGCCGTCTGAATATTTTACTACAAAATCCAGACACTAAGTTAGTGTCAGCAAATAATTGACTTACACAGATATCAATGGTTTCCAACAGAGGAATATTAGTAAAAAGTGATTCAACATCGAAACTGGCCATTATAGTTGGGAACTCAAAATTTAAAGAGGAAAGTTCTTTTACAAAATCCTGAGAATTTCTCACAGTAAATTCATTATGCGTTAATGGTTCTAATAATGGAACCAGAAACTTAGCCAGTTTATAATTAAAGGTGCCAATCGCTGATAAAATAGGACGAATCGGTATACCTGTTTTATGAACTTTAGGTAACCCATATAAGATGCCAGGCTTAGAGCCAGTTGCAAGTAATTTAGTATAATCGAAAAGAGAGTCTTTCAAACTTCTTAAAACTCTATTCAGTTTATCCTCACATTTCAAAATATACGAGAATGGGTCTATATCAACCAACGTAAATTTAGAGGGGTCTTCCAACAACCTTTCCACCTTATTAACATACTCTAACTTGTCCAAAACCACTATTCCCCTACCTTTATCTGGCCTGGTAATGCAAATACTCCTATCATTCTTTAAGCCATTAATACACTCCAATTTCCTTTTGTCAAAAGGAGGGAATGTAGATCTATATTTACCAAAGTCGTTAAAGACTTCATGCGCTAAGGAGGAAACAGTACTGATGATATTGGTCCAACTATAATTTGTACCAGTCCTTAGGGTACAAGTTTTCAATGTGTTGCATAACCGCTCAAAACCTAAAAAATGATTAACAAATTTAGGTTTTTTACACGTCAACCCGAAGTCTAACCCTAGAGAGAGAAGTTCTTTCTCAATGGGAGACAGAACTCTCTTTGAAAAATTGAAAACCACCTTATCAGGGTCCACCGAATTAAATGAAGGTATACCCAAGTTACGCAATTTCTTCTCGTGAATAAGTCTACATTTTTCAACCCTTTTTTCATTATAATTTTCATATTTACATTTTAAAGATGCAAAATCAACCCAGGAAACCAAGATCTTGAATTTCTCCAAGTACACGTGCAATTCACTTTTCAGCTTATTTACCCGCTTCTGCTTTTCAGATATTTCAAAGTCCAACAATCTTAATAACCAAGAATTATATTCACTTGTCAACGCAAATTTGTCGGAATACACTTTAAACCTGAGGAATCTTGGGACCAAACGATGCGCCTTACAGGTCCTGTAAGGACCTGTAAGGCGCTTTGTTCCTGATATTTTTAAGAAAAATGCTATTAACACTACTGAATAGGGCCTTTGTTTTATGTTCTAATTGGAATAACTTTGATCAGGAAATTAATTTTCTTGTGAAATTTTTTTCAAATAATGGTTATCCTGTGCATATGGTTTATACTTTTATAAGGAATTTCTTAAATAAGAAGTTTCACCCATCGTGTAGGATTACTACAGTGGAAAGGGATCTTAAATATATTAAATTACCATTTTATGGCAGTATTAGCTTTTCTGTAAGGAGTCGTTTGAGGAGACTGTTGCAGCAGTGTTATCCTCAAGTAGACTTCAGATTTATTTTTGTCAACACAAATACCATAGGCTCTTATTTTAAATTTAAAGATAAAGTGCCTACCCCCTTGTGCTCAAATGTCGTATATATGTATAATTGTTCCAGCTGTAATGCTGGATATGTCGGGAGTTCCATTCGGAACTTTAAGATTAGGATACTTGAGCACCGGGGATTATCTTTTAGGACTGGATTACCATTGTCTAAACCAGCATTTTCGGAGATTAGAAACCATTGTTATGAGTTTGATCATTCTCTGCTGGAATCTGATTTTAAAATTCTGGACACTTGTATGAATGGCCAGTCAGATTTGAGAGTAATGGAATCCTTATATATAAAGGAGCTGCGGCCTCTGTTAAATAGCAACCTTTCAGCTGTTCAATTGTACACTGTATAGTGCACAGTAGGCCCTGTAATTTGATTTTTAGTTTATTTTGGTAGTTTAATTTTGTTTAGTTTACCATGTCTTTGCCCTTTCTTACTTATTTCAAGTCTTAACATTGTACATTAATATAATCTTTTGTTTAGGATATATAATACATTTTTTGGTATTTAATTTTATTTAATATTTGAGCTTTTTATAAGATTTTGGTTAGTACTTTATAATTGTCGTTTATTCTGTTTGTATTTTACATACATTTTTTGTAGATTTGTAGTCATTCAGTCTCCGTGGTGTAGTGGTAAGACACTCGCCTGGCGTTCCGCGAGCGCTATGTCATGGGTTCGTATCCTGGCCGGGGAGGATTTACTGGGCGCAATTCCTTAACTGTAGCCTCTGTTTAACGCAACAGTAAAATGTGTACTTGGATGAAAAAACGATTCTTCGCGGCAGGGGATCGTATTCCAGGGACTTGCCCGAAACGCTACGCGTACTAGTGGCTGTACAAGAATGTAACAACTCTTGTATATATCTCAAAAAAAAATTATATAAATATTTGTTATAGTGTTTAGTATCTATGTGTTAGGTATCAAGTTTCACTTCTGATCACTTCACGTAAGTTTAATAGAATGGTTTGTTTTAGTAGTTATAAATTTCATCTTGTAGTTTAATGGATTTTAAATTAGTTTTAATATATGTGACAGTTAATAAGTTTTATTTGTATTGATCACTTTAAGTGCGCTTAAGTGTTTTGTTTTTTTAAGCATTTTCCTTTCTTTGATAGGCAATTATATTCAGTATGAGTTCTTTGTTTACCAGCTATTTGATTGTGATTTCTGTTTTTTCTTTTAGATCTGATGATGAATACGAGAAGTATTCGAAACGTTATGTTTTTTAAAGTAAAGATTCTGATACAAGATGTTCAGTATATCCCTGGTTTTCCTATTCATCTTAAAATTAACATATTATATATATATGTTTACTACCCTTTATTTGATCTAGATATGGCAGTGTTCATTTGAGCCCAACCAGGAAAAGGCCAACTCGATGACCAATGTGGTAGCAACTTGTGGAGGCTCCTCTGTGTGTTTTATTAATGTGGACGATGGAGAGGTGGTTCTCAAATACAATCGCAGCACAAAAACGTAAGTTTGATAGTTCCTTTGCGCCAAGTATTTTTATTAGTATGAAAGGTATTTTTACAAATGTAATGGAAAAATTGCATCCTTTGCCATTTGGAGAGATCAAGGATATTCCTGCCTTTTATACGGATGCTGGACAACATGGATGACTAATCTGGACGCCTATTCATGTCCACTGAGGGGATGCCCGTGTGCATGTGCCCACTGAGGGGATGCCCGTGTGCATGTGTCCACTGAGGGGATGCCCGTGTGCATGTGTCCACTGAGGGGATGCCCGTGTGCATGTGTCCACTGAGGGGATGCCCGTGTGCATGTGTCCACTGAGGGGATGCCCGTGTGCATGTGTCCACTGAGGGGATGCCCGTGTGCATGTGTCCACTGAGGGGATGCCCGTGTGCATGTGTCCACTGAGGAGATGCCCGTGTGCATGTGTCCACTGAGGGGATGCCCGTGTGCATGTGTCCACTGAGGGGATACCCGTGTGCATGTGTTCACTGGGAGAATACTGTGTGCATGTGTCCACTGAGGGGATGCCTGTGTGCATGTGTCCACTGAGGGGATGCCTAGGTGCATGTGTCCACTGGGAGAATACTGTGTGCATGTGTTCACTGGGAGAATACTGTGTGCATGTGTCCACTGGGAGAATACTGTGTGCATGTGTCCACTGGGAGAATACTGTGTGCATGTGTCCACTGGGAGAATACTGTGTGCATGTGTCCACTGGGAGAATACTGTGTGCATGTGTCCACTGGGAGAATACTGTGTGCATGTGTCCACTGGGAGAATACTGTGTGCATGTGTCCACTGGGAGAATACTGTGTGCATGTGTCCACTGGGAGAATACTGTGTGCATGTGTCCACTGGGAGAATACTGTGTGCATGTGTTCACTGGGAGAATACTGTGTGCATGTGTCCACTGGGAGAATACTGTGTGCATGTGTCCACTGGGAGAATACTGTGTGCATGTGTTCACTGAGGTAAAGCTTTGTTTCAGGTTTCATCTGCCTATAGATCCGTCTAACCACTATTTTATTCGAAGAAAATGCAGATAGTTCTCTTGGAGATAGAATGAATGCTTCCACTGGTTTTCAGCAGCCTTGTTGGTTCTGGGGTGCTCATTCAGACACTGGTGTGCTACTCATTCCCTTACCTGACTGCTTTAGTGACATCTTGTTTCTAACCTGGATTTCTTTTCATCTCGTTCTTCCTTATTACAGAAAAACTGATTGTAGGTTCTCCTGTTCCTCCCCATGCTGCCTGAGATGCTGTTTGGAACAGCTTGGCAGCAGACCATTCTAGCACAGTAGTTGATGGTGATGGAGTTTGTGTGTCACTTGTGCATCATGAATGCTGTCTTATTTTGTCTGTTCTATTGCTGGAACAGATAGTGTTCCGGTAATAGAAGCGTTTAGTGTACTGGGGCCAGAGTCACGAAGCAGTTACGCAAGCACTTATGAACCTGTACGTCTTTTCTCAATCTTTGGTGGCTTTGTTTACAATTTTCAAACAGTTAATGAGCTCCAAAGCACCAGGAGGCTGTTTATAGCAATAACAGTTGATTGGGAAGTTTCCATACTTGTAAACTGTTTAATAAATGTAACCAAAGCCATCAAAGATCGAGTAAAGATGTACGTGTTCATAAGGACTTGCGTAACTGTTTCCTGAATCTGTCCCCTGGTACTTTTTCACTTCAGACCTAACTTCAAGCCAAGTTTTTTTTATTTATTTATTTTATTATTTTATTTATTAATTTTTTTATTTCTCTCCTATAAGAGTGTAGCCTATATTTGTCCAAGATGTCTGCCAGCTGGGCTTCAGGCCTATATTTTTGGGTTCATTTGGACTTTTCTAATTCACTTTATTGATCACTTTAAAAACCGTCATGTGTATTTTTCCTGGATCATCTACCATCAACCAGGTATCAACCAGTTCTCTAAAATACCTTTCCCTTGTAACTTTCTTTACTTGGGCTTGAGGATTTTTCAAGGGGTGCATTTTCCATATAGGATCTATTGTCACTATCCAGTTCAACATCCGACAGTGACCGTTTCTTTGACCCCAGGTTTTCTTTCTCCTAGTTTAGTGTCTTTTAAGGTTAAACATTCTACACATAGTAGAATGTGTAGAATGACTGTGCATAACATACATTCTACACGTCCTGCCATAATCTATTGTACACAGTTTAACACTAATTTCATACAAAGATCTGTCATATGCTATAAACTTTGACTGTATACCAGTTTGTTTTGGGTATCTTGCATAGTTGCACAGTTAAAACTTACATACTGTATTTCAATGTTTAGTATGATGCCATGCCTTAAGTGGTATCTTTCTTCTCTGAAAGTGGCCTACAGATGTGCTAGCTAATTAGTGAATTACACAGTATATATACTATTAAACAAAAACAAAAGGGCAGGTGCTTCCTCATGTTTTAGAAGTGGCAAGTGGAGTAATAATAATGAATGTATTCTAAGAGAATGTTAATTAATGTATAATAATTAGAATACTTGCAATCTATTTTTGAGGAGTGCAAAATCCTGGACAAGCAAGATGCAGTCATTATATTACAAATTTTGATTCCAATAGAGCAACGGCTGGAGAAAATCTTTATGCACAAGTTTGGTCAACACTTCCACTGGACGACCTTGGAATTAAAACCATGAATATTTTAGCTGCTGGCGGTGCTCGCTCCACTGTTCTCTTGATCCACCCTGAAGCTGGCGTCTGCTACCAGATGTTCCGTACAGTGCCAAATAGAGCCGCAGCGGTAGTCTGCGCCCTCATATTCCATCCCAAGAAAGCTACGTGGTTGTTCTGTAAGTAAATCACTGAGCACTGATGTGATGCTCTTCGTGTGACAAGCATTTATCTAGTATATACTCTTGACTTCTTGAGCCTATTTCTGTAATCTTTTTACCAGCCATAATATGGTACAAAATTTATCTTGAGACTAATATAACTTTCTCTTTTGTAGCTATTGCAAATATTACTACAATAATTAAAGATCTGTAGAAGCATAGTGGAACTTTCAAAATTTGGAACATATCATTCTGTATCCAACTGGATTCACAAGAATTTTGAAATGCCAAAAACGTTGCTCTCTTTTGGCTGTTGATTTCTTTCAAGTAAATCTGAAAATCTAGCAAGAAAGAGATGTTTTCTTGTAGTATGAAAACAAAAATTATAAATAATGATTTGTCCAATAAAGTTAAGACAGACTTTTAACCACTTAACTGCGCAAACCAAGTATTCTCAGTCGGTGGGAAACTGCGCCAACCGAGAAAACTATTTTTTATTTTTTCGTACCCATTCTAAATGTCTGCGAGATTGGTTGTGTACGAAATGGATTCTTAGGACCTCCAGTGAGAGGCAGCCATCTTGGAAAAAATTCCCAGAATGCCCTAGGGTTGCTGGCTGGGTTAGTACTGAGTGAACAACCATGGGTGGCGCACGCGCCTCTGGCTCCCAAACACCTGTCCGACGCGGTGTTGAAAGATCGCGCTCTGTCAGTGAAATTCAAACCTTATTGTTTGAAGAACATAAGGGTCATAATATTGGTGAAGCGAGGCGCAATAAGGATTTAACACAAAGGTCGGATGCAAGTGATTCAGCACCTATGAGGACGATACAGCGAGCGTATCCAATTGTAGCTCTGAGCGCCATCCTTGCCCACCTATGCTATGCTATCTCCAATTTATTTAGATGATACATAGATGAATCGTTTTCTGCGTTCAGTGATGATGCATCTGATACAAGTAGTATAAATGAACAGTGTTAGCGGCTTCCATGGTGGTGTTTTCCATAGATATTTTCAGGAATACAGTGGTACCTCGGAATGCGAGTGTCCCTGTATGCGAGTTTTTCGGAAGACGAGCAGGATTTACTCCAAAAATATGTCTCGGAAGGCGAGGGTTACCTCGGGACGCGAGTTTGTTGATACGTGTACAGGCCTTACCAGTGTCTAGTGTCCAGTGACTATCCCACCTGAATTCTTCACAAGGATTTACAGTTTTTTATCGGTTTTTTGGCCATTTGAGCATAAAAGTTGTCATTATATATCTTGCCATGGGTCTCAAGAAAGCCATTGATAAGGTTCAACCTAAGAAAATAGCTGTGAGTAGAGGCAGTAGAGGATGTCCCTTCTTGATTAAGAAAATGTGTGAAGTATGGGAAGAACTGCAAAGTTTTGTTGAAAAAACTCACCCAGATAAAGCTGTAGCAGGCCGTTGCATTGACCTTTTAAATGATAATGTGATGTCTTACTACAGACAAGTGTTAAAATGTAGGGAAAAACAAGTGTTTGTAGACAGATTCTTAGTAAAACAAGCAAGTCCTAGTGGTATGCAGGCAAAATGTGCCAGTGTGTGCATACCAGTGAAGTCCTCACTGCCTGATGTGATAATGGAAGGGGACTCCCCTTCCAAACAGTAACTCCTCTCTTCCTCCCACCTCTCACCATCTTCCATACGCCTACAGCATTCAACAGCAAGGTAAGTAATAACTTGAACATAGTTTTGTAGGTTTATTTAGATGAATTAGGTATAAAAATTTAGTTTGATGTGGGGTTTTTGGGGTAGTCAGGAACGGATTAATTCATTTCCCTTTATTTCTTATGGGGAAATTAGCTTCGGAATGCGAGTTTTCGGAATACGAGGCGTCTCCAGGAACCAATTAAACTCTTAAACTGAGGTATGCCTGATACCTGAATCTCTTCTTGACTGATGGACACTCTTTGAGGCTGGCTGAATTTCTTCCTGTGGATCTTACAAAGCAATCTTTTCATGACTTCCTTACAAATTTATCTTTTTCTGTAATCTTTTCAAGACTATCTTACGTTTTACTAGCTTGGCTACATACCACCTACAGGTACTAATGCCAAGGGTGTACGTGAGTGCGTTATTTGTAAGCACACAGAACGAAGAAACAGAAAGCGGCGAAAATCTATCTGTACCTGGTGCAACGAGAGAGAAGTCGTGCTGTGTACCATGGACTACTTCATTGATTATTACTCACTTCCGAAGTACTGAGTGTGTAATACAGTGTGTTACTGTGTAAATAGTGTGTGAAACTGTACATATTGTAATTTTAGTGAATTTGTAACAAGTAATATTGCAACTAAACATTTATTGTGGACACATTACTGACACATGTATCAGAGTTCTATGGAACATTATGAACGTTCTACTGTATACATATTGTAAAGGACACAAATATGCATCATATACGATAAAAAACAAATAAAACCGCATAGGAAATACATAGAACAAATAATTGAAAATATATTTGTGGCAACACCCGGTGCTTGAATGACCCGCACGACCGTGTCTGGGCGAGTCATGCACGGACGACCAGGCCCTGATGACGTCACAGCGCACCTTGTCCACGTCCCCACAACCAAAGTAATTGGAATTTGGTATTTATTTTTACATAGACATGTTTATGGAAGGGAATTTATGATTTTACGAAGAAAAGGGAGTTTTTGGGGAACACTATTTCATGCGCACGGGGAATTTCACAATAAACTCAGTGCAGCACGGTGGTTAATAGGCAATTGTCATTAACTAATGATGCAGTCCACACCCCTTAACTCCTTGTGTATTAATACTGACTGTAATATTTATTATTGTAGGTGGTCATGAAGATGGACAAATTCAACTGTGGGATGTAGGAACCCCAGCCTTGCCTAGCTACGAGGCAACTGCAGTGCATTTGCTGACTATTCCTGCTGTAGCCAGAGATGTTTACAACTTGACTTTCTCGTGCTCTCATGACATGCTCATTGCTGGGTGTGATGGGGGGCTGTTTGGATGGAAGATAGACATGCAGAAGATTGAAGCTAATGACAGGTGGGTAGATCTTGTTCTCTTTTGAGCTCATTAACATTAGTAATGCCAAACCTACACACATGAAAAGAAAGTACACATGGCAAATTATTGAATTTTTACTTATCAAGCAAAAAAGTAATTCAAGAAATTTGCTTGTGTAAAAAAAATTATCATTGAACAATAAACAGCTGCATAAATGTAAAATGCTTATAATGTATTCACTGTCAAGTTTGGCGTTAAACTTTTCTGCTCACTTAGTTTATCTCTGGGGCATGGGATAGTCACAGTGTACTTGGAGTGTGATTATTTTGGAAATAATTTATTTCTGTGGAGAGCCCTGCCGGCTTCCTCTGTCCATGAAATGGCCCATCGACGCTGAGTTCTTCAGTTGGCTTTGCCAAAGTGTTTGGGCCCCTGAGGTGGATCTCTTTGCGTTGGCGTGGTCGCGGCATCTCCCAGTCTATGTGGCGCCCTTCCCGGACTGCAAAGCTGTCGCGGTCAACGCTTTTTGGCAGGACTGGTCGAGGTGGGGGTACCTGTACCTTTTTCTCCAGGTTCAGCTGTTTCTTCGGGTTTTGGCTGAGCTGGAGTCCTGTCGGGAAAGGGTTCTCTTTCTAGCCCCATGCCCAGTCTTGGTTTCAGTTACTGCTTGCTCGGTGTCTGAACCTGGGGCGTTTTCCACTGCTCCGCCTTTTCCAGCAGCTCAGGCTGGTGAGGTACCTCACTGGTTTGATCTATTCTTCCGCTCTTCGCGTCTGGTATTTTTGACATATGTGTATCACCACTTGTATGGTGATCAGGTGGCTTCTCTCATGTTGTCCCACTTGCGGTCTTCTTCTCGGTGACAGTATGAAGTCTCCTGACATTCCTTTCCCCACTTCCTTTCTCTTCATAGGTTGCCTTCTGTTTCAGTTCGTGTTGTCTTTCCTTTCCTGGTTGTTTCAGGACTGACATCTTATGCCGAATACTATTGCCTCTTATCGTGCAGCACTAGCAGAGCAACTAAGCTTGTGTTCGGGGTGGACATTACTTCATCTTCGTTTCGTAAGCTTTCTCATACTTTTTCCCACCTCTGGTCAGCTCATGCACCGCCTGAGTGATCCTGGTCTTTGGACTGAGTGCTCTCTTTTCTCTATTCTCCTTTGCTTGTTGTGGCCCCCTTCGGGGCACAACAAATTTCCTTGTTTTCCGAAGGCTTTGTTTCTGTTGGTTTTGGCCTCTAGAGGTTGAGTCTGTGAGCTTGATGCTCTCCTCTGATGCCGGGGTTTCTGCTCTTTTGGTCTTGGTGGACGTACCATCTTGGTCATGAGGCAGGCAGTGCTATTCTTACCCTCTCGGGTAAGTCCTTTTGTTCACTTTGGTTATCTAGCTCCAAGGAGCCGACGGGGCTCCCACAGGAAGCCAGCGTTGAATGTAATGAAACGCCATTTTCTGGGTGAGCCCCTGAAGTTCCCTGGCACCCTCCCTCCCACCGGTTGGTGGTTTTTGTTTCGTTTGCTCAGTCTCCGAACTGGTGAGCGTGCGGCTGGCTCAGGGGGCGCGTCGGTTTGATAACAATTTGCTTGTTGCCATGTTTTTCTTGGAGGAGTTCTTGGGCGCTGTTCGGTCTTGGGTTGCCATTTTCAACCAGTCCAGTTGGGGTCTGTTTTGGGATGCCTAATTTTCTGGGTGCCTAACCCCGGTTGATGGCAGACATGAATATACTCTCAAAGAGTGGAGTTTTCATAGGCCATTGCTCCCTGTGTGTCTCTGAGGGAGTGCCATGTTCTGGTTCATGATTCCCAGTAGGTAGAACTCCATGTGACTGAAACCCCAGACTAATATAACTAACATCAGTCCAATAGCTCCAGGGAGCCTCCGGGGCTCACCCAGAAAATGGCGTTTTATTACATTCAACACTGTTTTTTTTTAACAATTACAAACAAATGTTTATTATACTTAAAAAAATACACTAATACTCAGCCTCACAAAGTAAATGTTTTTTATACACATTGTATGTGTAGCATCAGCACCCCGAACCAGCATTTGTGACATTGGTAAACTGAAGAGCTTTTGTAGTCTCTGTAATGCCTTCAGTAGCATTAATGTGTAATAACATTTGTATTGTACTATACAGTGGAACCTCGAGTGACGAGCAGCTCCAGTTACGAGCATTTCGAGTAACGAGCAAGCCACTTGCAGAAAATTTGTCTCGATTAACGAGCGTTCCCGCTGGTTCTTGGACACCTCCGACGACAGTTTTGTTGTTTCGCAAGACGAGTTTTCTACATGACGAGCTCAGTGCCGGAACGGATTAAATTTGTTAATCGAGGCGCCGCTGTATTTGTAAAATTTGTAAACTAAATTTTTTTAGCGTACAGTATTAATTATTATAAATTTTATCTTGAATAAATTTTTATTTATGGGCACTACAAATTATTTCAGACTAGAGCGGACAGAATTCATGCTTCCAGAAGTAGATGGTAATGGATCAGTTTTGGACTCCGTGTGTATGCTGCGTGACGACCTTCTTGCGGCGAAATGTGCCCTTCACGGCCAGATCTACATCTTCTCTCTTGCACGAGCTTTGAAGAAGAGAGCCTTGAATAAGTGAGTGGCATCTTTAAAGTATAAATATTTTGCCTATAAATTTATCCTTCTTGTGCATTCCCATTTCTGTCAGTTTTTATCATATTTGTCTGATTCCTGTCAAAATTTGCCAAAATGTTGGAAGGAAGGTAGAATCTTTTGGGTTGTTTAACGTATTATACGGCTGGAAATGTACAGGTTTGCCACTACAATAGAAAGGTTCTCATCTCTTTTTCTTGGCAACCCCACTGTTACTTGGAAGCTATACACACAGAAATCACAATAGCGTGATGCATCAAATGAACAAATCCAAATTCTTTTAACCATGTCGTAGCTCAGTCGATTAAGGCTCGTCTGGGATCCTCTCAAACGTAGGTTCGAACCTTCATCACGACCCTTGTGGATTTGTTCATTTGATGCATCACACTTTTGTGATTTGTATGTGTAATGAAGTAAGGGCGAAGAGGTAGAATAGCTTATAGGCAGAACTCAGGTGCATGGGGAAATTGTGTAAAAACCTGGTTTGTCTCTAGGAGAGACTGCAGGATCCGTGGTAGATCAAGCTGAACTCCCGGTTACAATTCTTTTAACCATGTCGTAGCTCAGTCGATTAAGACATTCCGGTTTATGGAAGCCGGTCGGCCAAGCGGACAGCACGCTGGACTTGTGATCCTGTGGTTCCGGGTTCGATCCCAGGCGCTGGCGAGAAACAATGGGCAGAGTTTTTTTTCACCCTATGTCCTTGTTACCTAGCAGTAAAATAGGTACCTGGATGTTAGTCAGCTGTCACGGGCTGCTTCCTGGGGGTGGAGGCCTGGTCGAGGACCGGGCCGCGGGGACACTAAAGCCCCGAAATCATCTCAAGATAACCTCAAGATAACGGAAGGCGCGTCTGGGATTCTCTCGGATGTAGGTTCGAACCCTCATCACAACCCCTGTGGATTTGTTCATCAGAAGCTCTCTCTCTCTGAAATTGCTTCATTTTAACACTTTCGCGCTCACGGCGTTAAAAAAAAATCATACCCTATGCGCTTTCGGCGGTCCGTGCGCCTACACGGTAAGACCGAAAAAGTGTACACTCTTTTGACTGTCCTGACAATAATTGAAGGCGCACGTATTTAAATTTGGTATCACTGTGTTCGCAATAAAATTGTCTATAAGAACATACCTATAAAATGCCGCCAAAGCATAAGGACTATCAACACCAAATGAAAAACTATTCAGATCACTCGCCGAGAGCGCCAAACAGCAACAAAATGTTTCCACTCTCTTAATGGTTGCGAAGCCTACAGTTGTCCTACATCGCTAATTGTGGTATCATTGGAATCGCAATAAAATTCTCTACACGGACATATGCATATACATAAATATAGATTCAATGTCGTAGCCCACCCAAAACAGTGTGGGAAGTGGCCGAAGTGTTACCCGCAGCGGCATATCGGCGAAACTCGCTTTGAAAAGTGTATATTCAATTCACTGTCCTGACATTATTTGTCGATGTATGTATTTCATTTTTGTACCAATGTGCTCGCAATAGAATGTTCTATAAGAACATAAGTATTAAAGGTCACATAAGGATGCGTTCGACCGGCAACATATATAAAAACTACGTCGATTATACTCGTCGTGTCAATAATACAATTGTTTTACCACGATGATTCACTGCCACGCCGTTCTCTTTAATAAGCTGTTCGGCTATTAGAGAAAACGTAAATTTCATGGCAAACATTTGTAAACTATTCCCAAGTTGATCGGATAATAAATGGATTTTATACAAATATTTTTTCTCGTGACTCCCGAGAGGGGCACGCGTGCGGTGTGATTAATAATATTGGTGACAACGACGGTCTGCTGGAATGCGCCAAAGTGTTAATGGGTCACATCAGTTAGAGGAGTTGTGTTGGGCCTACCAGGGTCTAGAGCCGGAACTTAGCCCTCCTCATAGAGGCACAGGAAGCTGTTGACAATCTACCACCCAATTTGGAAGAGCATCCAGAAAGTTAATGAAGCTTTACAGACAACTGTAGGGCTCACAGCAAATGAAATCTAGAAACTGCCAAACAACTCTGCAAATTATTCAAACGAAACATTAGATTCACTCCAAATTAGCTCCATCCCATTACTATCGGTTACTGCCACTGAGTGGCGGCTACTGGTAGTATTTTCACTATAGTCATTCTAAGGTTTTGGACCTTTATTGGTTTTTGTGTGCGCTTCATATAATGTACATGGGGAACTTTTAGTGATGAAATTCTCATTATTATTATTTTTTATGACCCAGAAAACTCCAGTACTCCTTCCGGTCAGTGATTTTTTGCACTTTTTTTTATGCTCAGCCTCAGAACTGAATGTTGTAGCTACCAGTGTGGGGGGGAGGAGGTGCAGGGCCCCCTGGATTCTACCCCTATGCCTAGGTGTTTTGTTACGCCTACCTTTCTGGGTGCCAACACCAGTCGATGGCAGACATGGAATGCTTCCAAACACTGGGGGGGTTTCTATAGGCCATTGCTCCTTGTGCCTCTCTGAGGGTTCAGGTTCTGGCTTGTGGTCCCCGGTAGGCAAGAACTCCATCGACTGATGCCATGGTCTAATACATACATATCAGCCTAGTAAGTTCTGGGGAGCCTCCGGGGCTCGCCCAGAAAATGGCGTTTCATTATATTCCATGTTGGTTTTTTGGTTTCTGAATATAAAAGTTATTATATATCATGCCATGGGTCTCTGAAAGCATTTCAGAGGCCATCCTTTGTGAAAAAGCAAGGCTATTGCATGAAGATCTTATAAAAAAAACTGGAATGAGTCATGCAGATATGAAATCATTTAAGGTGAGCCAGCAATGGTTTGAAAAATTTAGAAAAAAAAATGGTATTCATAGTGTTGTGAGGCATGGGGAAAAACAAATGTCTATATACAGATTCTTAGCACTATCGCCCGCGCCACAAGAGCGCCGCAGACTTTGACGTCATGGGGCTAATGGTGCGGGCGAGCATTCGGCGACGCCTAAATGTGTATACTTGTTTCAGTTTTCTCACCTTGATTCTCATGCTACGTCGTTCGTTTTGGTATCATTGTGTTCGCAATTAAAATACCTGCAGATGTATATGCATATAATGTCTAAAAGCCTAGCGAGACTTCCCACAGCAAAGCCTAAAGTCGGAAAAGTTACCCGTGAGCGCACAAAATCAGTAAAATGTGTATACTCGTTTCAGTTTTCTCGCCTTAATTCTCATGCTACGTCGTTCCTTTTGGTATCATTGTGTTCACAATTAAATTCCCTGCAGATGTATATGCATATAATGTCCAAAAGCCTGGCGAGACTCCCCGCAAGAAAGCCTAAAGTTACCCGTGAACGAGCACCAATTTGCACACCCCAACCTAATGTGTATACTCGTTCAGTTTGATAACATAAATTTTCATGTTACATTGCTCGGTTTGGTATCAAATTGTTCGCAATATAAAGGCGCATATTTTAAAACTAGTCCCATAATAATAGCACAATAAATAGAATTTAACAAATATTTTAAAATTTAAAATTTAGACCCAAAAACGTATTTATAATCTTTCAAGTGTTCTGACATCAAGTTTTGTGTTACATCTTTCATTTTGATATCAAATTGTGCGCATTCTAAAGGCACTTATTTTGAAACTATCCCGAGGTCGATTGGATAAAAAATTAATTTTATACAAATATTTTTGTAGTGGACGCGAGTCCTGTTCACGGCTTGGACTCGAGAGGAAAAAAATGGACGTGATCAGTGTCCAAAGCGAGCGATACTGTTAGTAAGACAAGCAAGCAGTGAGCCTCCACAAGGTCCTCGTGGTATGCGTGCAAAATGTAAGAGAGAGAGAGAGAGTACCCCCAGAAATGCCATCACTGCCTGATTATAATGGAAGGGGACTTCCCTTCCAAACACTAACATCTTTCCTCCTCCTCCCCTCCCCCCTTCCTCACCGTCTTTCATACATCAACAAGAGTCCTTTATTAATAAAGGTAAGATATAATTGTACATACTGTAGTACAAAATATGAGTAGTAGTATGTATAAAATGTTATTTTAAGTTAAAAATTTTGGGTGTGTGGAATAGATTAAATAAATTTACATTATGTCTTATGGGAAAATTTGTTTGTTTTCAATTTTTCAGTTGCCAAACCGTCTCTGGGAACGGATTAAATTTGAAAACAAAAGTACCACTGTATACCCTGCAGGTCTGGGACCTAGGTCAATTATCTTGTAGCAGAGGATCTAATGTTTAATAAATACACCACTATATTATATTGCCATTCTTTGGTGCAGGTCTGGGGCTCAGTACGAGGCTCCTGTAACACAGGATATGATGCTCAAGCTCCGATGGAGTGACACTGATAATTACTACATGAACATGGGAGTTGACCCAAGTAAGTGCAAGTATTCTGGCCAACATAACTGCAGATAATGTTTGGCCTGTAAGACCTTTCACAAATCTAATTAGATTAGAGATTTGGGAAAGCTCTGACAGGCAGAACTTTATCTACAAAGTCTACTGTCAACTTGTTGTTTCTCTTCATCATTGCCAGCACTTTGTTATCTTATGAACCATCCCAGATTAGCTTGTGTGCTCTGAAATAATGATCTAATGATCACTGTTGTGTGGAGCAGGTGTAACAGCTAAGGTTTGACTGGTTTACTTGACCTTCCTCTGCTTCACTCACTTGTACTATAAGCAAGGAAGGCACATTGTAAACCATTTTCCACGGAGGATTATTGACTTAAATGTCTGATTATTGACAGTTGAGTGAATAAATTAGTGACCTAAAAGATAAATAACTGGATGACTGTAATGGGCACAAGTAAAACATACTTAAAATAAATACAATAATATCCTTGTGCTATTAGTTAACAAAGTCTAAAAAATTAAATTGATATGTTAACTGGGAATGAGGAACTTACACAAAATACATGGTACAGGACACAGACTTATTCGTAGATGGAAAACAATTTTAAAGTTCTGGGAATTATGATGTTTGATGACCTGATATTTAGTGGACATAACCAAGCAAATATAGCAACTGCTAGGAAAATGGTAGGATGGATTATGAGAATGTTCAAATCCACAAATCTCACACCCATGTTAAATTAATACTTTTTAAATCACTGGTGCTGTCCTGTCTTGAGTACTAATATTACTCAGTACTCACATTCATTCTCAGTGCTTGAGAGATTTCTGAAATAGAAGAAATACAGGAACACACATGGCATGCATAGACAAGATAAATCATTTAAATTATTGGGACAGTTTTGTAGCTCTCAAAATGTACTTTCTGGAAAGGAGACGAGAGAGGTATCAAGTAATATATACATGGAAGATAGTGGATGGCCAGGTCCCAGATTTGCACAGTAGAATAACAACATACTGGAGTGAAAGATGTGGAAGGAAATGCAGAATAGAACCAGCGTGGAGTAGAAGTGCCATAGGCACAATCTTGGAGCTCTGTTTAAGCATCAGAGGACCAGCTGTTCAATACTCTCCCAACATTCATTATAAATAATTTCGGAACAAATGAGGAAGTCTTCAAGAAGCATTTAGATAAGTTCTTGCAAGAAGTGCCGGACCAACCAGACTGTAGTGGATATGTGGGCCTGAGGGCCGCTCCAAGTAACAGCCTGTTAGACCAAGTTACCACTATTCAGGCCAGGCTTGAGAAGTAGAACTTCCTATTCAGTCTATTTATTTGATATAACACCAGATCAATTCTACTCAAATCTCCAGGTTCTCTCTCTCCACCTTATCAAACCACAATACATACCCAAAGGCTTCTAACATTAATAAACACCTCTATTATACTCAAACAATTATACCCAAGTGATCTTGACATGTTGTGTCTGTTAGCTGGGGTAGACTGAATTCACTGGGAAAAGTCTGAAATTGTTACAGGAATGCTGAGCCGGCAAAATATGAGGTAGTGGCTATACCTTGAGAGTAGATAACACTCGTATGCTCTCACCCCAGTTATTGACGAGTAACTGACTTGTTGTTTTGTGCCCGACACATGTTAGACACAGCACCAATAGGCTGAAAGCCACATGGATTGCCAACTTGTACAATTAATTCGAACATCCTATCTTATGAGAGACTTCAAAATTCCCATTTTTACCTTATGCCCTACTAGGCAAGCCAATTTTAAAGTCCACACTTTACAGACAGTGGTTATAATGCCCTATAGCATTTTGGTTACTTATCGAGGACAAGTGCCACAAATTATGACTAACACAGTACTACTATGCAGGCGATGAGTCACTATAACGTGGCTAAAATAAGTTGACCAGACCACACACTAGAAGGTGAAGGGACGACGACGTTTTGGTCCGTCCTGGACCATTCTCAGGTCGATTGACACAGGATCGACTTGAGAATGGTCCAGGACGGACCGAAACGTCGTCGTCCCTTCACCTTCTAGTGTGTGGTCTGGTCAACAGTACTACTATTTCAAATTTCATTTAAGTGCACAGTTACCAAGTAGTTAATAGCTTGTAAGCTTAAATCATCAAAAGTGAGAAATTGCAAACACAGAAAATGTTTATGTAAACCTATTTTCAAAATATCGTTTGTTAAAATGTTACAAAAGTTTGTGAAGTTAAGTATTGTAGTTGAATAAAAAATGTTTAATATTGTAATACAAATATTAGTCACATTGGTTATGACATAATTTGTCATAAAATTGTATATGCTGGAAATTTGAACATTTTATTTTATTGTAGAAACTTGGTAAGCTTTTGAATGTTTGCAACTGAAAAATAAATAATTTAAATGTTAATGACCACTTCTGCTAAAGCTTTGAAACACACTTATATGCTTTTACCTTGCCAGGATCATGTATTCTTGTGTGTGGTGATGACAAAGGAGCTCTGTGGGTGTATGATGTTGCCGACTACGTCACTGGTAAAATCTCCAGCCCGCTATCCGAAGGGCCAGAATTGCCACAAATCGAACCGGTCAAAATTTTAGACTGGCCTGAGTTGGAAGATGCAGAGGTGGGTTGGGATTTGGTCATCAAAGAAAATATATACATTTCTTTGTCCATGCTTGGTTTAAATATTGTACTGCATGTTAGCTTAACACAAGTCCCCTTTGTGCATAAAATATATTATTCCCAACAATTTTTTTTCCATTCTAATATTGTTAAAATGCATTCACTGATCACAGGAAACTAAAAAAAAAAAATGGTTTGGTACATACTTTGGCTGTGATGAGGCAAGGAATTCTGGCAATAGTCAGGCATTGACAGAGCAGTCATCAAGTGTACTCACCTAGTTGTGCTTGTGGAGGTTGAGTTTTGGCTTTTTGGTCCCGCAAGTCAACTGTCAATCAACTGATGTACAGATTCTGGAGCCTACTGGGCTTTATCAGATCTACATTTGAAACTGTGTATGCAGTCAGCCTCCACCACATCACTGCCTAATGCATTCCATTTGTTAACTATTCTGACATTAAAAAAATGATTTCTAATGTTCCTGTGGATCAGTAGGGTACTAAGTCTCCGCCTGTGTTCCCTTGAGCGTGTTCCACCCATGTTAAATAGTTTGTCTTTGTCCACCCTGCCAATTCCCCGGAGAATTTTGTCGGTGGTTATCATGTCTCTTGGTTAGGTGTAGGTGGTTACCTGAAAGACTCTTTTTGTCTTCCATAGGGATGTGAGGTTTAGCTCCCGTAGCCTTTCCTCGTAGCTCATACCTCTCAGTTCTGGGACTAGTCTGGTGGCGTACCTCTGAATCTTCCCTATCTTTGTCTCGTGTTTAACTAGGTAAGAACTCCAGGCTGGAGCTGCATACTCCAGTATTGGTCTGACATAAGTGGTATACAAGGTCCTGAATGAATCCTTACACAAGTTTCTAAAGGCAGTTCTTATGTTGGCCAGTGTAGCATATGCCGCTGATGATATCCTTTTGATGAGGGCCTCTGGGGACAGGTTCAATGTGATTTCATCCCCCATATCTTTCTCTCTCTTTGACTTGCAGGATTTCACCTCCCAGATGGTACCTTGTGTTCAGCCTTCTGCTCCCTTCACCTAATTTCATTATTTTACACTTTCCTGAGTTAAACTTTAGTAACCATTTTCTAGACCATTCCTCCAGTTGGTCCAGGTCGTCCTGTAGTCTCTGTCTATCTTCATCTGTATTGATTCGTCTCATAATTTTTGAATCATCGGCGAACATTGAAAGGAATGAGTCTGTATCCTCCGGAAGATCGTTTACACACATCAAACAGGGTGGGTCCAAGTACATCTCACCACTCTGATGTCTTCCCCCTCATAGTTACTCGCTGTTTCATGTTGCTTAGATACTCCCTTAACCACTGGAGCACCTTACCTTTTACTCCTGCCTGTTTCTCCAACTTTTGTATCAGCCTTTTATGGGGTACTGTGTAAAAGGCTTTTTGTCAGTCCAAGAAATTGCAGTCTGCCCACCCTTCACTTTCTTGCCTAATTTTTGTTGCCTGGTCATTCCTATTAAGCCTGTGAGGCACGATTTACCATCCCTGAACCCATGTTGGTGGTGTGTTACAAAGCTATTTCCCCTCCAGATGTTCTACAAGCCTTTTCCTCATGATCTCCATCACCTTGCATGGTATGCAAGGTGATGGGAAACTGGCCTTTAGTTCAGTGCCTCTTGCCTGTCACCCTTTTTATATATTGGGACTACATTAGCTGTCTTCTAGCTTTCCGGTAGGTCTCCTGTTACATGTGACTTGTTATACACTATACTATAGAGAGTGGCATACTTAGTGCTTCTGCACTCTTTTTTTTTTTTAGTATCTATGATGAGATTCTGTCAGGCCCAACAGCCTTTGTCACATTCAGCTCCAACAGATTCCTTTTGACCTCATCACTGGTAGCTCAAATTCCTACAAGGTTGCTTGGTTATCTCAGCTGTGGCGACTAACTCCAGCCCTGACATGTAGTGGGGGTTGCTGTCAAGATATTGTTACATAATAATTTCAGTGGTTTTAAAAACCACTTTAGGTTGGGAGTGTTTTTGGCTGGTGGGGTGCACTGTGGTTTGGTGATGAGCTATTCCATTAACACACAACAGCACTGATGTTTCTTCCTGGTAGCTCGTTTTCCACGAGTTGGTCCTGGGGGCCTTGGGCTTGTTTACTTATTGTTGTCAATTCTCACTTTTACCTTTTGGTGCTTTTGTATACTTTTGATATCGTTCACCTTATGCGTTACTGTTCTCGTATTGGCATCCTTGATGATATTTAGCGCCCTCTGATTATCCTGCACATTTGATGGTGCTACATAGCCCTCCCGGTTTGGTGCCTTCTTTTGATAATTGCTTACTTGGTGCTTTTGTTTTAGAATCAGGGCACGGATTAGCTCCGGATATGGCTTTATGGTTTGCTCCTTCTGATGTAGGCGTGGAAGCAGTTGAGCATTTCGCTCTCATTGAAGCATCTGGGTGGTCCCAACAGACCCCTTCAGGAGCTCGTGTAGCTCAGGAGCACCGCACCAGAAATAAATCTCTCTGATGTTTTGAGTCAGACTAAATCTGTGCAAACACTCAATGTAAATAAAAGGACACAGTCTATGGAACTCGCTTCCTAAGGAATTAAAAAATTGTCCAACCTACACTTTATTCAAAATTAAAACAAAACAGTACCTAATTTCATCCTCATAGCTTCCTACTTCAAACTCACTGTATTTTGTGCTCTCCCCCCCCCCCCCCACACTCTAATTTTAGTATTTAAGATAGGTAACTTAACCAATGTAATTACTACCATCAGTTTATATTGTAGTTATTATGATAAACTCAAATTTTGCTACAATGTACCCATTAATAATCTTAACTTTATTTGTTAACTTAAGGACCTACCCAAAGTGATATGCATGTTAGTGGCTTTGAAAGAATGTAAGAATGCCAATTGGGTATTCTGTACTCGCACACCCCAGTGTACCTTCTTGTATGTAAATAAAATAAAAATAAATGCCATGGCTCCCTTCACCTCTGTGTGGGGACCTGTGGCCAGATTCATGAAACAGTTATGCAAGCACTTACGAAAGTGTACATCTTTCCTCGATCTTTGACGGCTTTGGTTACATTTATTAAACAGTTTACAAGCATGAACACTTCCCAGTTAACTGTTGTTATTGTTATAAACAGCCTCCTGGTGCTTCGGAGCTCATTAACTGTTTAATAATTGTAAAGAAAGCCGCCAAGGATTGAGAAAAGATGTACAGGTTCGTAAATTCTTGCATAACTGCTTCGCGAATCTGGCCCCAGGGTCCTCAGTAGGCCAGAGAACTCCGTGACTGATGGTGCCTAGTAGCTGGCACCTACAGTGGAGATGGTAGCTTCAGGGAGCCACTGGGGCTCGCCCAGAAACTGGCATTTCATTACATTCATATGCTTGTATTTTGCTGGCTCTTCCTTCCATGTCAGGCTAGTGAGCTTCATGTTCTGCCCTTTTGAACCTGGTGGGACTTTTCTTTGTTTGCAGCCATGGCCTTCTTTTCTGGTGAACAAATCTGTGTGCTTCTGGAGGTGTCCTTTGTTTGATGCTTGGCTCACTTAGCCAAGGGTGGATCATTTGTTGTCTGGTGACGGCAGTTTGTCACTACCCGTGTGCCAACTTCTCGGCTTTAATGAATGCTCTATGGGTTGATCTAGTCTCCATGGTGCAATGGTCTCCATTACAAAGGTCGTATTTCTCAGGTTGTTCGCAATGCCATCTAGGGTAGCCAGCCTGGCTATCCTAGATGGCATTGCAGCCCATGATGTTTGCAATTGTGCTGCACTAATGGTTGTTTTCTGGGGGGAGCACTGTCGGCTCCCCGGAGCTATACCTGACTGATATGCTAATGTCAGACTTTGGCATCAGTCATGTGTATGGAGTTCTAGGGCCTACCGGGGACCACGGCCAGAACCTGGCCCCCCTCAGAGAGGCAAGGGGAGCAATGGCCTAAAGAAACCCCCGTGTGGTTGGAAGCATTCTATGTCTGCCATCGACCGGGTCAAGCATCCAGAAAGGTAAGCATTCCAAAACAAACCCCTATTCTGGTTAAAATTGCTACCAAAAGCCAAACTAGTGGATAGAACTCCCCAACAGAAAACAAGCAAACTAGTATGACGTTACTGTGCCGCTGTCTGCGCAGCTCCCCCCTCCCCGGGAGGGGGAAGGGGGAGCCCCAGATCTCTCACGCCGGCTATCCACCCATCAGTTCTGAGGCTGGATGTCAAAACATGCGAAAAACTGCCGACCGGAGGAAGGGAGGGTTGCCGGGGAGCCTCCGGGTCTGGCCCAGAAAATGGCATTTCATTACATTCAACGATGGTTTTCCGGGGGGAGCCCCGTCAGCTCCCCGGAGCTAACTACCCACAGAGGAAGGTCAAAGGGACGGAACCGGGAGGCGGTCACCATGCACCCCTCAACGGAAGCGAGACAACCGGCTGCAAACGCTAACCCATGGCGACACAGCCCCGACAGGGCCCAGGAGCAACACGAGACAACGAGCAGCTAGGCCCCTGTACGAACACCAAAAGATCCGTGCCCGGATGACAGCAAGGACATGCATACCAGACGGCAACAAGAGCAGCGAAGCCACGAACGCCACAGGCACGGGGAAAGAACACAGGCATGCTAGCCGCAATAACACGGCGGACAACCCGGGACACCTTCACCCGTGAACAGGGAAAAACGGAACCGGATCAACTCAAAGTGCGCCCCAGACATAGAGGCCGCGGCACGCAAATAACAGCGGAGGGCCGCCACTGAACACAAAACACGATGCATCCATGGCCCGACCAACCAAGCACCAACAAACCAAGGACCCCTCCGGAATGCAGCTGCCCCATCCCGTGGTTTTTTGTATTGAGTCGTGGACAAATATTTAGGCTTGGGGCATTAGCAGATTAAAAAACAGGATAATGGCAGCCAGGTCTTTAGTCAGTATCCCTGGTGTTCTTTGGTCCTATGTTGCCCCAGGTCATGTTTCCTGGTTGTTGTTTTCTACTAGAGTTAGTGCCTACTGCCTCTCCTCCTCCTCTGGTAAGTCCCTCCATTTTTTCTCCGGTTATTTAACTACAGGGAGCCACCGGGGCTCTCCCAGAAATGGAAGTTTCATTACATTCAACTCTGGTTTTATGTTGGTCAGAGGGGGGGCAGAAGAGTTCATTAATCTTTATGCAATAAAGCACTGCTATGGACCAAAAGAAGGATCAGTTATAATGATGACATTTTTGAGTACCATAATATATGGGTATGGTTCTGTAATAGTTCTCTTTGCATTTAAACTGCACACTTTTTGTTTTCTATGATTTCAACCATGTAAGGTATAGCTAGCACATTATTATTACCTATGAATACTTGCAGGTGGAGAAAGCTCGAAAACTGCGCCTGGACACGTATGACATTGTTGTAGACAAGTGTGCAGTGTCGTCGGGCGGTCACCACATTGTTGCAGTTACATCAAACAACATGGTCTGTGTCTGGAAAAGAGGGAAGGAAGACGATGATGAAGATAATTAAAAATATGTAAAAAAGTAGGAAATAAGATTTCAGCAAGTCACTAAGACATGCAGGAAGCTTTTATTACTTGGGATAATTTACAAAAATAATATAAAAATAATGACATTATTATGTAAAGCAAGCATGCGATATTAATTATTTTATTAGGATTATTAACGACAGAGAACTTTGATATTACAATTACCAAATAATAATGTTCATGGTCTTGAGGATCCAGCATCAGAAGTGTTATTTGTTAATGAGGCATTTGTGCCACTGCTGGCATAATGGGTAAACTGGCCTCTGCTGATGGCAACAATAAATGTCTCACACCTCTGAAATTCATGAGACTAAATAATAAGTTTTGTGATAAACAAAACCTGGATATGACTTCATTTGTACAACAAGAAGAGTTATGTTGAGTATACCATAGTTATTATTTTGTTCCCATGTTGTTGTTGTTTTTTTTATGTATATATGTACCAAGCTCAGTACATGACAGGAAGGCAGCACAGATCGTTAGAATTGCTCCAGTGATACATAGGAAGGTACTCTTAGGCCTATTTTTATATTTTTTGAGCACTATGTGAAGCAGCCAATTAGTGGGGTCAGTTAGCTGAAGCAAACATTGTCAGTCATCTAGTCCGCCTCTTCACTGCCAACGTCTTGACAAACTATATTAAAAAAATATGTTTCAAAGCCCAAATGATGCCCTTGTAACAATGAGACATTTTATCCCATTTTGTAACTCAAAATTGAATTGTCAGTTTGTAGTTGAATTTGACGCTGGTCGAGCTTCACAATTGCCGGCATTAGAAAAGATGGTTGATGTCTTCAATGTTGTTTGTATGATTACAAAAAAACTTAAATGTACTTAATAAGGGATTGAATCAGTTGCCAGATTTATTGCTAAGTATTATTCTCTAAATAATTTAAAATTTTTGTTGTTACATTTTGTAATGAGAAGGTTGCATGTTTTAATGTTTTGGAACTTGGAGCAGCTATGGAAGTAGTCAGGTGCTGACATTAATATACCTTTTGTTAATGTCTAAAATATTTGTGTTACTACCCGTGTGTTTCTCCACTACTGTAATTGTTAGTGGGTGTAATTGCATGAAGCATCCATTAGTAAATTGATAAATTGGTGGTAAATTGTTCTGTTATAATTTAAATCCATTTCCTTAATTAGTGCTTATTTAAGTTTCACCAGAAATTATTTGTAAATTTCTTAAGTTGAAAATTTTTAATTATTTTGATATATGCAGCCAGAGACCTGAAGAAAATATGACATCTCTCTTTTATGTAACTTAGTAACACTAGTCCAGAAGAGCTGACTTTACGATGGCTGACAGGAATTTTAACTTTCCCTCAGATTTCTAAAGATATTTGGTGAATTCTTATTTTGTTAGACCCATGTTTATCTGGGTTTTATTGTAACCCGTAGAGTGCGTGCTGCTAGCTGTGTCTTAAGTAATTATTGAATGGATCAAAGCTTACAATAAGCAGTCAAATATTGTGATATAATTTTTAAGCTTCCTAATGTAGTAAGCTGTATCGGTTCCTAATCTACAGCTGGTTAAGATTGCAAGGCATACTTAATACAGGTTCTTACAGAAAACATTTAATTCATACTGCTGAATTTATGTAAGGGTAATTAATGTTTGGTAGCAGCTGAGTAGATTGTGTGAATAATGGCGGGAGTATCTGTTAAGAGGTACTAGATGCAATGCTGTAGGGTGTCCGAGGGTATCCCTGCTGCTAGTGTGTATGCTGTAGGGTGTCCAAGGGTATCCCTGCTGCTACTGTGTATGCTGTAGGGTGTCCGAGGGTATCCCTGCTGCTACTGTGTATGCTGTAGGATGTCCGAGGGTATCCCTGCTGCTACTGTATATGCTGTAGGGTGTCCGAGGGTATCCCTGCTGCTACTGTGTATGCTGTAGGATGTCCGAGGGTATCCCTGCTGCTACTGTGTATCCTGTAGGATGTCCGAGGGTATCCCTGCTGCTAGTGTGTATGCTGTAGGGTGTCCGAGGGTATCCCTGCTGCTAGTGTGTATGCTGTAGGGTGTCCGAGGGTATCCCTGCTGCTAGTGTGTATGCTGTAGGGTGTCCGAGGGTATCCCTGCTGCTAGTGTGTATGCTGTAGGGTGTCTGAGGGTATCCCTGCTGCTACTGTGTATGCTGTAGGGTGTCCGAGGGTATCCCTGTTGCTACTGTGTATGCTGTAGGGTGTCCGAGGGTATCCCTGCTGCTAGTGTGTATGCTGTAGGGTGTCCGAGGGTATCCCTGCTGCTAGTGTGTATGCTGTAGGGTGTCCGAGGGTATCCCTGCTGCTAGTGTGTATGCTGTAGGGTGTCCGAGGGTATCCCTGCTGCTACTGTGTATGCTGTAGGGTGTCCGAGGGTATCCCTGCTGCTACTGTGTATGCTGTAGGGTGTCCGAGGGTATCCCTGCTGCTAGTGTGTATGCTGTAGGGTGTCCGAGGGTATCCCTGTTGCTACTGTGTATGCTGTATGGTGTCCGAGGGTATCCCTGCTGCTACTGTGTAGGGTGTCCGAGGGTATCCAGGTTGCTACTGTGTATGCTGTAGGGTGTCCGAGGGTATCCCTGTTGCTACTGTGTATGCTGTAGGGTGTCCGAGGGTATCCCTGTTGCTACTGTGTATGCTGTATGGTGTCCGAGGGTATCCCTGCTGCTACTGTGTAGGGTGTCCGAGGGTATCCCTGCTGCTACTGTGTAGGGTGTCCGAGGGTATCCCTGCTGCTACTGTGTAGGGTGTCCGAGGGTATCCCTGCTGCTACTGTGTATGCTGTAGGATGTCCGAGGGTATCCCTGCTGCTACTGTGTATGCTGTAGGGTGTCCGAGGGTATCCCTGTTGCTACTGTGTATGCTGTAGGGTGCCCGAGGGTATCCCTGCTGCTACTGTGTATCCTGTAGGATGTCCAAGGGTATCCCTGCTGCTACTGTGTATACTGTAGGATGTCCGAGGGTATCCCTGCTGCTACTGTGTATGCTGTAGGATGTCCGAGGGTATCCCTGCTGCTACTGTGTATGCTGTAGGATGTCCGAGGGTATCCCTGCTGCTACTGTGTATCCTGTAGGATGTCCGAGGGTATCCCTGCTGCTACTGTGTATGCTGTATGGTGTCCGAGGGTATCCCTGCTGCTACTGTGTATGCTGTAGGATGTCCGAGGGTATCCCTGCTGTAGGGTGTCCGAGGGTATCACTGCTGCTACTGTGTATCCTGTAGGATGTCCAAGGGTATCCCTGTTGCTACTGTGTATGCTGTATGGTGTCCGAGGGTATTCCTGCTGCTAGTGTGTATGCTGTAGGGTGTCCGAGGGTATCCCTGTTGCTACTGTGTATGCTGTAGGGTGTCCGAGGGTATCCCTGTTGCTACTGTGTATGGTGTCCGAGGGTATCCCTGCTGCTACTGTGTGTGCTGTATGGTGTCCGAGGGTATCCCTGTTGCTACTGTGTGTGCTGTATGGTGTCCGAGGGTATCCCTGCTGCTACTGTGTATGCTGTAGGATGTCCGAGGGTATCCCTGCTGTAGGATGTCCGAGGGTATCCCTGCTGTAGGATGTCCGAGGGTATCCCTGCTGTAGGATGTCCGAGGGTATCCCTGCTGCTACTGTGTATGCTGTATGGTTGAAGGTCGTGCTTGCCAAAATAAATGTTTACCTCATGTTGTCTGGTTGAGCCATTACTGTAAGTAATGGCTGAGCAAGACTGTACAGTAATTGCAAATAAGATAGCATGATTGTTGAGTATGTAATATAATAATGTGTACAGATGAGTCTCTTATGTATATAAGTATTCCAGTCAGTGAATGAATATTTAAGTTACCAAGGTACAATATTAACAAAGGTCTGAAATCTGATCACAGTAGATTGTAGGAATAACATTCAAATGCATCACTTGATAAAAATGATCAAAATGTACCAGGTTCCTGTATTTTTGTTGTATTAGATATTGGGAAAGCTTTTGTTTCATCATCAGAAGCAGACTTTATATGCAATATTCCACGATCTCATTTCTTCCTGGCAAAAACTCCACTGTTGACATAATAAGGTAACAGTAAGGAAACAAAATAGGCAAATTTTGTATTTTTGAACAAAAATAAACTACTGTTCCAACCTATATAAAACTATTATTCCTAAGCGGGTTTATGTACTTGTACATAGAACTGGCTCGAGCAAGTGAAATGTTTCTGTATTGATAGTTTGGTGAAGAAATTTGCTGTGGCCACCCACTGATGGGAAGGTTCCAGGTGGGAGATATCCTGCTGTGGTCACCCACAGATGGGAAGTTTCCAGGTGGGAGATATCCGGCTGTGGCCACCCACAGATGGGAAGTTTCCAGGTGGGAGATATCCTGCTGTGGCCACCCACTGATGGAAAGGTTCCAAGTGGGAGATATCCTGCTGTGGCCACCCACTGTTGGAAAGGTTCCAGGTGGGGGATATCCTGCTGTGGCCACCCACTGATAGGGAGGTTCCAGGTGGGAGATATCCTGCTGTGGCCACCCACTGATGGGAATGTTCCAGGTGGGAGATATCCTGCTGTGGCCTCCCACTAACAGAAAGGTTCCAAGTAGGAGATATCTTGCTGTGTCCACCTACTGATGGGGAGGTTCCAGGTGGGAGATATCCTGCTGTGGCCACCCACTGATGGGGTGGTTCCAGGTGGGAGATATCCTGTTGTGGCCACCCACTGTAAAAAACCACTATCGCAGGCCCTCCACATTCTGTGGAGACAAAGCCTAGACACTGGCGTTATCCCTGATATACTAAAAACAGCAGAGATAGCACCACTTCATAAAGGAGGAAATAAGGCAGAGGCAAAAAATTACAGACCGATAGCACTAACATCGCACATTATAAAATATTTTGAGAGAGTGCTAAGAAGTAAGATCACAAAATACATGGAATCACAGCATCTCCATAACCCCGGACAACATGGTTTCAGAACAGGGCGCTCTTGCCTGTCGCAGTTGCTGGACCACTATGATAAGGCATTAGATGCTATGGAAGACAAACAAAACGCTGATGTAATTTACACAGATTTCGCAAAAGCTTTTGATAAATGTGACCATGGTGTTATTGCACATAAAATGCGCTCAAAAGGAATTACCGGAAAAATAGGCAGATGGATCTACAATTTCCTGACCAACAGAACCCAATGTGTAATAGTCAACAAAATAAAATCCAGCCCATCAACCGTGAAGAGCTCAGTCCCCCAGGGTACTGTGCGTGCTCCAGTACTTTTTCTCATCCTCATATCGGACATAGACCAGAACACAACCTATAGCACTGTATCATCCTTTGCAGATGACACAAGGATCTTCATGAGAGTAGGCAACATAGAGGACACGGCAAACCTCCAGTCAGATGTAGATCAGGTCTTTCTATGGGCTACAGAAAATAATATGGTGTTTAACGAAGATAAGTTCCAGCTCATGCGCTATGGAAAAAATGAAAATATAAAAACGGAAACAACGTACAAAACTCAGGCAAATCATAACTTTTCACACTAGAGATGCTATACCGATGATGATACTTTTTAAAACGCTTGTGCTCTCTAGAGTGGAGTACTGCTGCACAATGACAGCACCTTTCAAAGCTGGAGAAGTTGCTGACCTAGAGAGCGTGCAGAGATCCTTTACTGCTAGAATCCACTCAGTAAAACATCTAAATTACTGGGACCGACTAAAGAGCCTAAATCTGTACTCCCTTGAGCGCAGGCGGGAGAGGTACATAATAATTTACACATGGAAAATATTAGAGGGGCTGGTCCCAAACCTGCACACAGAAATAACATCACATGAGACCAGAAGACATGGCAGGATGTGCAGAATACCCCCGTCGAAAAGCAGAGGTGCAACAGGTACTCTGAGAGAGAACTATCAACATCAGAGGCCCGAGACTGTTCAACACGCTTCCACTACACATAAGGGGCATAACTGGCAATCCCCTCACAGTGTTCAAGAGAGAACTGGATAAGTACCTCCAAAGGATACCTGATTAAGCTGGTTGATCAGGATACCTTTACCTTATGGATCAACCAGGATACCTCCTGGTTGATCAGTCCAGTAACCAGGAAGCCTGGTCGACGACCGGGCCGCGGGGACGGTAAGCCCCGGAAGCACCTCAAGGTAACCTCAAGGTAACCCACAGATGGGAAGGTTCCAGGTGGGAGATATCCTGCTGTGGACACCTGCTGGTGGGAAGGTTCCTGAAGAAAGTAAGGTGTCTGGGCTATGTATAGAATAAATTAGTAATTAACAGTTTAATGTTCAAGTCCCTTATAGGCTCCCATCAACAATGCCTCTCTCTTACAAGTGCTCTCACTGGCGGAGATAACAACCACTGGATCATGTCGGTCACAGGAGTCCCATTTGGCTAATCAGAGACCAATGGCTACCATCAGGTGGGTCGGAGCACGAGTCAACTCAAAGATCAGTCCTGTCATATGTGGTTGGTGCCACTGGTGTGCTCCTCTGGTTCAGCACATCAGGTCTCTCAGTTTGTGGCTACGTTCTGGCATCCCATGGGGGCTATTTTTTTTTTTTTTTTTTTTTTGTGCTTGTTTACTTTCTTACAATCTTACAGACCTGGAAATTTTTACGCTTCGAGCTGCATATGAACATGATGACTCCTCCCCAGGTGCTTGTCTAGTGTGTTCCCTGGTGTGCTCAGTAAGGTACAGACAACACCAGTGGTCCTGCTGGAGGGTGGGAGACAGACAGACTACACCAGTGATCCTGCTGGAGGGTGGGAGACAGACAGACTACACCAGTGGTCCTGCTGGAGGGTGGGAGACAGACTACACCAGTGGTCCTGCTGGAGGGTGGGAGACAGACAGACTACACCAGTGGTCCTGCTGGAGGGTGGGAGACAGACAGACTACACCAGTGGTCCTGCTGGAGGGTGGGAGACAGACAGACTACACCAGTGGTCCTGCTGGAGGGTGGGAGACAGACAGACTACACCAGTGGTCCTGCTGGAGGGTGGGAGACAGACAGACTACACCAGTGGTCCTGCTGGAGGGTGGGAGACAGACAGACTACACCAGTGGTCCTGCTGGAGGGTGGGAGACAGACAGACTACACCAGTGGTCCTGCTGGAGGGTGGGAGACAGACAGACTACACCAGTGGTCCTGCTGGAGGGTGGGAGACAGACAGACTACACCAGTGGTCCTGCTGGAGGGTGGGAGACAGACAGACTACACCAGTGGTCCTGCTGGAGGGTGGGAGACAGACAGACTACACCAGTGGTCCTGCTGGAGGGTGGGAGACAGACTACACCAGTGGTCCTGCTGGAGGGTGGGAGACAGACTACACCAGTGGTCCTGCTGGAGGGTGGGAGACAGACAGACTACACCAGTGGTCCTGCTGGAGGGTGGGAGACAGACAGACTACACCAGTGGTCCTGCTGGAGGGTGGGAGACAGACAGACTACACCAGTGGTCCTGCTGGAGGGTGGGAGACAGACAGACTACACCAGTGGTCCTGCTGTAGCATAAGATCAATACATAATGTGTTCGCTGCAACACCTCTTAGGTTGGCCTCAGCCGTCATCCAGTGGCGCCTGACAGCTGAGTGGACAGCGCTACGGGTTCGTAGTCCTGAGGTTCCTGGTTCGATCCCCGGTGGAGGCGGAGACAAATGAGCAAAATGTTTCTTTCTCCCTGGTGCCCCTGTTACCTAGCAGTAAATAGGTACCTGGGAGTTAGACAGCTGCTACGGGCTGCTTCCTGGGGATGTGTAACAAAAAAAAAAAGAGGCCTGGTCGAGGACCGGGCCGCGAGGACGCTGAGCCCCGAAATCTTCTCAAGATAACCTCATGATAAGATACACCCACCCATTGGCCCTGAGGTACGCCGTGGTCCTGAGGTACGCCGTGGCCCTGAGGTATCCTGAGGCCCCGACGCACCTAATGGCCCTGACGCACCCCGTGGCCCTGACGCACCTAATGGCCCTGACGCACCCCGTGGCCCTGAGGTACCCCGTGGCCCTCAGGTACCAAATGGCCCTGACGCACCCCGTGGCCCTTACGCACCCTGTAGCCCTGAGGTACCCCGTGGCCCTGAGGTATCCCGTGGCCCTGACGCACCCCATGGCCCTGACGCACCCGGTGGCCCTGACGCACCCCGTGGCCCTGAGGTACCCCGTGGCCCTGACGCACCCCGTGGCCCTCAGGTACCAAGTGGCCCTGACGCACCCTGTAGCCCTGAGGTACCCTGTGGCCCTGAGGTACCCCGTGGCAGTGAGGTACCCCATGGCCCTGACGCACCCGGTGGCCCTGTCGCACCCCGTGGCCCTGAGGTACCCCATGGCCCTGAGGTACCCCGTGGCGCTGAGGTACCTTGTGGCCCTGAGGTACCCCGTGGCAGTGAGGTACCCCGTGGCGCTGAGGTACCTTGTGGCCCTGAGGTACCCCGTGGCAGTGAGGTACCCCATGGCCCTGACGCACCCCGTGGCCCTGAGGTACCCCGTGGCGCTGACGCACCCGGTGGCCCTGACGCACCCCGTGGCCCTGAGGTACCCCGTGGCCCTGACGCACCCCGTGGCCCTGAGGTACCCCGTGGCCCTGAGGTACCCCGTGGCCCTGACGCACCCCGTGGCCCTGAGGTACCCCGTGGCCCTGAGGTACCCCGTGGCCCTGAGGTACCAAGTGGCCCTGAGGTACCCCGTGGCAGTGAGGTACCCCATGGCCCTGAGGTACCCCATTGCCCTGACGCACCCCGTGGCCCTGACGCACCCCGTGGCAGTGAGGTACCCCATGGCCCTGACGCACCCGTGGCCCTGACGCACCCCATGGTGGTACCCCCTGAGGTACCCCTTGTGGCCCTGAGGTACCCCGTGGCTGAGGTACATGGCCCTGAGGTACCCCATGGCCCTGACGCACCCCGTGGCCCTGACGCACCCCGTGGCCCTGACGCACCCCGTAGCCCTGACGCACCCCGTGGCCCTGACGCACCCCGTGGCCCTGACGCACCCCGTGGCCCTGAGGTACCCCGTGGCCCTGAGGTACCCTGTGGCCCTGAGGTACCCTGTGGCCCTGACTCACCCCGTGGCCCCGAGGTACCCCGTGGCCCTGAGGTACTAAGTGGCCCTTAGGTATTCCGTGGCCCTTAGGTATTCCGTGGCCCTGAGGTACCGCGTGGCCCTGACGCACCCCGTGGCCCTGAGGTACCCCGTGGCCCTGAGGTACCCCGTGGCCCTGACTCACTCCGTGGCCCTGACGCACCCCGTGGCCCTGACGCACCTCGTGGCCCTGACGCACCTCGTGGCCCTGACGCACCCCGTGGCCCTGACGCACCCCGTGGCCCTGACGCACCTCGTGGCCCTGACGCACCTCGTGGCCCTGACGCACCTCGTGGCCCTGACGCACCTTGTGGCCCTGACGCACCCCGTGGCCCTGACGCACCCCGTGGCCCTGACGCACCCCGTGGCCCTGACGCACCCCGTGGCCCTGACGCACCCCGTGGCCCTGACGCACCCCGTGGCCCTGACGCACCCCGTGGCCCTGACGCACTCCGTGGCAGTGAGGTACCCCGTGGCCCTGAGGTACCCCGTGGCCCTGACCCTGTGGCACGCACCTCGTGGCCCTGACGCACCTCGTGGCCCTGACGCACCCCGTGGCCCTGACGCACCCCGTGGCCCTGAGGTACCCCGTGGCCCTGAGGTACCCCGTGGCCCTGACACACCCCGTGGTCCTGACTCACCTCGTGGCCCTGAGGTACCCCGTGGCCCTGACACACCCCGTGGCCTTGACGCACCCCGTGGCCCTGACGCACCCCGTGACCCTGACGCACCCCGTGGCCCTGAGGTACCCCGTGGCCCTGACGCACCCCGTGGCCCTGACGCACCTCGTGGCCCTGACGCACCCCGTAGCCCTGACGCACCCCGTGGCCCTGACGCACCACGTGGCCCTGACGCACCCCGTGGCCCTGACGCACCCTGTGCCCTGACGCACCCCGTGGCCCTGACGCACCCCGTGGCCCTGACGCACCCCGTGGCCCTGACGCACCTCGTGGCCCTGACGCACCCCGTGGCCCTGACGCACCTCGTGGCCCTGACGCACCTCGTGGCCCTGACGCACAACGTAGCCCTGACGCACCCCGTGGCCCTGACGCACCCACTGTGGCCCTGACGCACCCTGACGCACCCCGTGGCCCTGACGCACACCGTGGCTCTGAGATACCCCGTGGCCCTGAGGTACCCCGTGGCCCTGACGCACCCTGTGGCCCTGAGGTACCCCGTGGCCCTGAGGTACACCGTGGCCCTGAGGTACCCCGTGGCCCTGGCGCACCCCGTGCCCCTGAGGTACCCCGTGGCCCTGACGCACCCCGTGGCCCTGAGGTACCCCGTGGCCCTCAGGTAGCAAGTGGCCCTGAGGTATTCCGTGGCCCTGACGCACCCCGTGGCCCTGACGCACCCCGTGGCCCTGACGCACCCCGTGGCCCTGACGCACCCCGTGGCCCTGACGCACCCCGTGGCCCTGACGCACCCCGTGGCCCTGACGCACCCTGTGGCCCTGACGCACCCCGTGGCCCTGAGGTACCCTGTGGCCCTGAGGTACCCCGTGGCGCTGAGGTACCTTGTGGCCCTGACGCACCCCGTGGCCCTGACGCACCCCGTGGCCCTGAGGTACCCCGTGGCCCTGAGGTACCTTGTGGCCCTGACGCACCCCGTGGCCCTGACGCACCCGGTGGCCCTGAGGTACCCCGTGGCCCTGAGGTACCTTGTGGCCCTGACGCACCCCGTGGCCCTGACACACCCCGTGGCCCTGACGCACCTAATGGCCCTGACGCACTTAATGGCCCTGACGCACCCCGTGGCCCTGACGCACTCCGTGGCAGTGAGGTACCCCGTGGCCCTGACGATCTTGTGGACCCCGTGGCCCTGACGCACCCCATTGATCTACCCCGCACCCCGTGGCCCTGACGCACTAGGTGGCCCTGAATCACCCCGTGGCCCTGAGGTACCAAGTGGCCCCTGAGGTATTCTGTGGCCCTGAAGTACCCTGTGGCCCTGAGGTACCAAGTGGCTCTGAGGTATTCCGTGGCCCTGACGCATCTTGTGGCCCTGACGCACCCCGTTGACCTTAAGTACCCCGTGGCCCTGACGCACCCCCATAGCCCTGACGCACCACGTGGCCCTGACGCACTGTGCACTGTGTTAGATAATGTTCCAGTGGTCTGTTGTGGTTGTAACTGTACACTGTGTTAGATAATGTTCCAGTGGTCTGTCGGGCATTTCTCCACAGTGTTGACATTTCCTCTCATCTTCCGGAACCTGTAAGCCTATTTCCCATGCACATGGGTATCCAAGCCTGATGCGATGTAAGTGTACTTCTGTTGCTCTACTGTTCCCTTTCATCAAACTAAGTGGTTCGTAGTTGGTTGAATTCTTGTACCAACCCGCAGATCCTGATGTTGCAACTGCTGTGTTGTGGTCACTGTACATCACCTGCATTGCTCTGTTTCTAATTACTTTCTTAATCTGTGATAGACTCTGTGGTATGTAAATGTCTACATTTCTTCTCTTTGTAGCAAGTTTTGCAGCTTCGTCTGCAATGTCATTTCCTATTATTCCCACATGACTTGGCACCCAGTTGATAAGTACCCGACGGCCTTGATGTTTGAGAGTTTGCATAAATGATATGACATTTGTGATCAGATGGATGTTATCACATATGTGTTCTTGTTGCAAGGTTTCAATGGCGGTTCTCGAATCTGTATGATAACATGTTGTCGGTGTTCAGCAAGAGCATGTTCCAAAGCCTTTTGAATGGCTAGCATCTCTGTTTGTAAAGTCGAACACCCATTTGAGAGTCTCCAATTATTTACAGAGTTTCCTGCCTTAACTGCAGCTCCGGTTTGTTGTCCCTGCTGGTTTACTGATCCATCTGTGAAGTATGTGAAGCTGTCAGATGCCAAGTTTGCTTCTGTATGCATCTGTGCAATGTTACGTAGCAGACGAGGATTAGTCTGGTTCTTTTTCCTCTCAAGAACCATAATCATAAAGTCTGCTGGCAGCGATTCCCAAGGGGCTTGCATAACAAAGTCTGCATGTATACAGTCGGAAGCTGAGATGAACAGACTGTTGGGTCAATGTCGGAAGAGATTACAACCTCTAAAGGCCTTGGCATGCTGTGGAAAGGGAGTGGGAGTCCCTGTGCTACTGAAGGTACAGTAATGAAGCCATGAGAATTATCTTAGTATGCCCAAGAAATGCCATGACTGAGATAATGAGGATGGAGTCGAATCTGGGGAGTATTGGGGATAGAATTTCAGAGATAAATGTAGCCTCTGCCATTAGATTAATGAGAGGTGGGGGAGTTAATGAATTAATCCTCTCAGTTCAAAAGGTGGGAAGTAATGAACAATGTATTATAAAGTATAAGAAGAGAGCATAAGACGAGAGTACCTTATGTTCTAATGTTATAAAGTATGATGTTATTACAGAGTGTATTGCTGTGCCTAAGAGACAATTTACACCACCATGGGAGGATTGTAATGTAGATGTAGTAATTACTCCCTTGCAAAAGAAAAAAAGTATGTATGAAATAGGAGAGCTGAGGGCAACATATGATTGTATAATTAGAAATTACCTACAGAAAACACTCTACATGTATATTGTGATGGGTCAGTAGCTAGGGATGGGAAGGCAGGATGTGGAGTCTTGATCAGGGAGTACACTGACATCGGCACTGTAGATACTGTTATTGGACGCCGCTTAACTGACAATGTCTCTTCAACGCAGGCTGAACTCCAAGGTGTATTAGCAGGATTACAGGAAGTAGTCAAATGTGGTAAAAATGCTTGCTTCTTTATTGACAGCAGAGGAGCGTTAGAGTCTTTAAATAGCAGACGCCCAGTATATCAGAATATTGTGATAGAGTGTAGAGAGAATGTTAAGAAATTAAAAAAAAAATGGGTATACAGTAAGATTCATGTGGATCCCTTCACATGTGAGAATACTGTTGAATGAGGTAGTTGATGACATAGCGAAGAGAGCCACTGAAAAAACTCTTGTTGATGTTGTATGTCAGTTAACCTTGAAACAAATAAAAACACGGTCCGTCTAATTACCACAAACTACCACAAACTACACAAACTTCAGAAAGCTTCCTGGCAATACGTTAGTAATGAATAAATATGATATATTTACTCATTATAATGTTGGTGCTGAATGTACAACACGAAAAAACATAATTTTAATCTGAAAAAGTATCTTTTTATAAAGAAATTAGACGAAAATAAAAAGCTGGTGACGCCAAATCAAGTCGACGATCCAAGCTTCGGTTAGGTTAGGTTAGGTTTGGTTAAGTTAGGTTAGGTTAGGTTAGGTTAGGTTAGGTTAGGTTAGGATAGGTTAGGTTAGGTTAGGTTAGGTTAGGTTAGGTCAGCCTAACTTAATATATCATATTTATTCATTACTAACGTATTGCCAGGAAGCTTTCTGAAGTTTGTGTAGTTTGTGGTAGCTTGTGGTAATTAGACGGACCCTAAAAACAAGAATCAAGATGATCCAAGAGGGTGAAGAAATGATAAAGAGAATGGCAATGGTGGACAGTAGTAACACACTTAAGAATTATTCAATAATAAATACAAACTCGTCCTTCACCTATGGTAGAGGAAAGTCTACTTGGAAGGATTCAATTTACATGAGATTAAGATTAGGATACAAATATATCTGGCAATACGGTGTTGATGTCAGTGAAAAAGATAAGGAGTGTAAATTATGTAGTATGCCGCACGCCCACACCTTAGAACATTATGTATTAGAGTGTCAACTTATTGATAACTATAGAAATAAGGAAATAAGTAGTGTACCACATCAAATTGTTTGGATGTGTGATAATGGTATGATAGACAGTATACTTAGGAGCTACAAGAATTTTGCCCCAAGAGTGTAACACTTATATGCTGTACTTACAATATTAACCTGCAATGTTAAATGGGATTCTTGTAATGTGGATTTGTACTCACTGAATTTGTGCGCCCCTTGAGGGACTTGAAGTAGAGGGGGTGAGTGGGGGGGGGTTGAAATAGCCTAAGCTACTCTATCACTTAGTAATGTATTTTTGTTATTGTCTCAATAAACGATCTTGAACGGTAATCGCCGACGTACCCCCCCCCCCCCCCCCCCCCCCCCCCCGCCAGGCGCCGCCCGCCCCTCCCCCGAGTGTTGGGCAGAAGATGCACTCTCTCTGTCGGGGTTCACCAATCTCTCAGTTGCATCTGTAGATTGATGATTGATAAAGATTAAGCCACCCAAGAGGTGGCACGGGCATGAATAGCCCGTAAGTGGTGGTCCTTTTGAGCCATTACCAGTATCAAGAGCTGATACTGGAGATCTGTGGAGGTGCGACTGCACCCTGCGTGACGGGAGATGTCTCCCGTCTGCATCTGTAACCTAGACGTAGTCTATATAACCTAACTGCTATTTCCCTGTGGATTCCTTTTGGGATATTTAACCTTTCTAACTTGGTGGCCTGAAGATACCATGTTGCAGATGGCGAACCTTCAGCTATTCTCTGGTGCAGGTCGGCTTTGTTGAGATGTGAGAGTTTTTTGGTGATGATGTTTTTTATGTTCTCTAGGCTGGGTTGAATTGTTTTATGTATCACTGGATGACGAGTTGCCACTTTAGCAATTTCATCGGCTTTCTCATTTAATGGGATTCCAATATGGGATGGGATCCAGTTTAGGGTTATGTTGAGTCCTTTGCCTTTAGTGACTGCTCCAAGATACAAAATGGTGGTAATTATTTCCACGTTACCTTTCCACTGTTTTTGTCCTAGTATTTGAAGTGCAGCTTTTGAGTGTTTTGTGCAATTACAAAACAGTTAATTTTCTGCAATCACAATCACAGTTAATTGATAATATTACGATTGATTGATTGATAAGATTAAGCCCCAGGAGCTTAGGCTTAGGTGGGGCTCCCATAGGCAGCAATGAGGTGAAAGGAAAAAAAGTCTTTGACCTCAAACAAAAGAGGAAAGTGCAGAAGGCCCATTAACCAATACATGTGAGATCCAGGAAGCAATAATACTAATGAGATATTATTGAGATAATTGTGTATTAATGAGTTTACCCGAATCGTTTTTAATTTATCAATTAAAAATGGATCCATATTTTAGAAACCAGTACTAATATTCACACTCTATGGCTTTGTGATTTGTATTAAAGCAGATTTCATAATGTTTCTGTTGAAAATTATGTTATAATTCTATACTGAGAAGATCTCTTCCCAATTAATTTGGTGAGAATTTTCTGAGAAATTTTACAAACAGAACATTAGATAATTGACCGATTTTTTTTACAGATTATATATGCTGCAAAATTGTACATTTCAAACCTTTGGATTTTGACTTGCATAGAACCTATTACAGTCATTAGGATGACTTTAATAGTCATTCTAACTATCAATGACTGTTAGTTTTATTTAGTATATGACACAATTATCATTACGAAAGCTGTTTCAAACTTATAATTTTCTAACTGTCTTTTCATAATTATACAACACATGTATATCAAAAAGTTTCAAGGCCTTAAAAATGTTTTCGAACTCAGAAATATATAGTATACATACATTTTTGGGGGGGCCAATTTTTTTCGGCGCAAATTTCTTTATAATATATACGGCGTGCTTTGCTACGGCTAATTCCCAAAAAATTTAGTGGATAACATAGCTTGAGACCAATAGAACCAATGTTCATGAACTCTTCATTCAAGCATTCTGGACTAGCAGCCCCGAAGAGCTGTTAGATACGTAGAGAGAAGATAAATTATTAGTAGGCTTTGTGTAGACACGTAGACACTAAACCTTTCCTGTGAATAAGTATATCTAAAAATTGCAAACAATTTATTCACTTTAGTCTTTGTTCAATAAATCTCTGAACTGTATGTTCGACAAATCTTTCACCCTGTCCATGTAGGACAGAAGAAAATGTATATATGCTGGTTAGCATTGTAAATGTGTGGCCACGTCTGTGGCAGAAAATAATAAAAAACACTTCAGTCTTTCATTAAATTCTGGCACATGCACGGGCCGTGGTGAGTAGGGGCTGCAGGAACACGCAGGCTATAGGTTACTAAGAACAAATGACCCGATGTTGTTGTTGTTATAGATTCAGCTACTCGGAACAAGTTCCAAGTAGCACGGGCTATGGTGAGCCCGTAACTTACCTGGCACAGGAGCGGGGCAAGTAGCAGGGGCTATGGTGAGCCCGTAACTTACCTGGCACAGGAGCGGGGCAAGTAGCAGGGGCTATGGTGAGCCCGTAACTTACCTGGCACAGGAGCTGGGCAAGTAGCAGGGGCTATGGTGAGCCCGTAACTTTCCTGGCACAGGAGCGGGGCAAGTAGCACGGGCTATGGTGAGCCCGTAACTTACCTGGCACAGGAGCGGGGCAAGTAGCAGGGGCTATGGTGAGCCCGTAACTTACCTGGCACAGGAGCGGGGCAAGTAGCAGGGGCTATGGTGAGCCCGTAACTTACCTGGCACAGGAGCTGGGCAAGTAGCACGGGCTATGGTGAGCCCGTAACTTACCTGGCACAGGAGCGGGGCAAGTAGCACGGGCTATGGCGAGCACTGACCCCACTAAGATCACTATCACGTCCCTGCAGCCTATCTCACACGTGTAGCCTCGGCGCCGCCCGCACATGTGCCAGAGTTTGATGAAAGACTGTACCCAAATGGAGCCATGAATGTCGCCGGGGGCTGGTTGGTCGTGGAGGCTAGTTATAATAAGCACCAGGACTGACCAATCATTATAAATGATCAATGGTGCGGTTTATGTTTGGGAGTGATCCTGGACGCCATGGGTTCGAATCCTGTTCGAGTTATTTAAAGTTCTTTGTCATATACTGTATATCAGCCCGTCTTTGTGTAGAAGGAAAAATATACAAAATAAAATCAATTATGGGTATGTGGGTATATATATACATATATATATATATATATGTCGTACCTAGTAGCCAGAACGCACTTCTCAGCCTACTATGCATGGCCCGATTTGCCTAATAAGCCAAGTTTTCCTGAAGTAATATATTTTCTCTAATTTTTTTCTTATGAAATGATAAAGCTACCCATTTCATTCTATATGAGGTCAATTTTTTTTTATTGGAGTTAAAATTAACGTAGATATATGACCGAACCTAACCAACCCTACCTAACCTAACCTAACCTATCTTTATAGGTTAGGTTAAGTTAGGTAGCCGAAAAAGTTAGGTTAGGTAAGGTTAGGTAGTCGAAAAACAAATAATTCATGAAAACTTGGCTTATTAGGCAAATCGGGCCTTGCACAGTAAGCCGAGAAGTGCGTTCTGGCTACTAGGTACGACATATGGGAGTTATGATTAGTAAGAATTTAAAACAAAAGGATCAATGCATAAATGTTCGTAATAAGGCAAATCGGACACTTGGATTTATTAATCGCAGCGTTAGTAACAAGACACCTGGTGTGGTTCTCAAGCTATATCTTGCTCTAGTTAGGCCTCATTTAGATTATGCAGTTCAGTTTTGGTCGCCATATTATAGAATGGATATAAATTCACTTGAACGTGTCCAGCGTAGGATGACTAAGTTAATTCCCCAAATTAGAAATCTTTCATATGAAGAAAGATTAACAAAGCTTAAGTTGCATTCACTGGAAAGGCGAAGAGTTAGGGGTGACATGATAGAGGTTTACAAGTGGATGAATGGACATAACCGGGGGGATATTAATAGGGTATTAAAAGTATCAACACAGGACAGAACACGAAACAATGGATATAAGAACATAAGAACATAAGAACATAAGAACAAAGGTAACTGCAGAAGGCCTATTGGCCCATACGAGGCAGCTCCTATTCTATAACCACCCAATCCCACTCATATACTTGTCCAACCCGTGCTTGAAACAATCGAGGGACCCCACCTCCACAATGTTACGCGGCAATTGGTTCCACAAATCAACAACCCTGTTACTGAACCAGTATTTACCCAAGTCTTTCCTAAATCTAAACTTATCCAATTTATATCCATTGTTTCGTGTTCTGTCCTGTGTTGATACTTTTAATACCCTATTAATATCCCCCCGGTTATGTCCATTCATCCACTTGTAAACCTCTATCATGTCACCCCTAACTCTTCGCCTTTCCAGTGAATGCAACTTAAGCTTTGTTAATCTTTCTTCATATGAAAGATTTCTAATTTGGGGAATTAACTTAGTCTTATCCAATATAAATTGGATAAGTTTAGATTTAGGAAAGACTTGGGTAAATACTGGTTCAGTAACAGGGTTGTTGATTTGTGGAACCAATTGCCGCGTAACATTGTGGAGGTGGGGTCCCTCGATTGTTTCAAGCACGGGTTGGACAAGTATATGAGTGGGATTGGGTGGTTATAGAATAGGAGCTGCCTCGTATGGGCCAATAGGCCTTCTGCAGTTACCTTTGTTCTTATGTTCTTATGTTCTTATATATGTCTCAGTGTGTCCCTATGACAAGCAGCCGGCTTCCTGTGGTTTACTGCATCACTGGTTTATTTACATTACATTACTGGTTTTGTTGAGCTCATACAAAGTGATCGTATCAGAAAAAGTATTAATTCATCTACGCAGTAAGGCCCAACACCATATGTTAAGTATAGGCCGGAACATTACATGAGTACGTCACTGTATAGCACTTTATAATGTATACAGATACTGTATCTATTTTTGTAAGCGCTGTAATCTGATCACCTGGTGTTTTTATGAATAAAATATTACGAAAATGAAACCATGGCAATAATGGTACAGTATGGTACTGTGTACAGTGTATTGCGTAGCAACATACTCCCCTACCCCCCACCCCTCAACCAGGGGGGGGGCAAGAGAGCAAGCAAGCCACCTGCGCCTTCTTGGCGTGTTGCAAGCTCTTGCAACCCTCGTCTCTCTCTCATCTTCCCACACTACAAGTACCTGCTTACGCTTAAATAATCATTGAGGGGGCTGAGACATCTTCTCACAGGCCGCGTGAAGTACCCAGTACTATATTGTCTTTCCCGCTGGGCTGGTTGTAGAGTTTTCCTACTTAAATGGTATAATTTGTTACTTAAAGATTTATTTCTTAAATATCTGGCATTGCGTGTTAGAAAGATTGTGTTAGATAATGTTCTAAAATGTTGCTGGCAGTATATTATTGTGTTGAAGGTGATAATTAAGCTTTAATTCCTCTTGGAAAATTATGTTAGTCGCTTTGTTATTACCAGTTATGAATGTTATTGCAGCCAAAGACCAGGTAATATCAACAATATGTGATCTGTTTAATAGGTATATAAAAGTGCGGTCTATAAATATTTGCAATATAGCGATGAAATCACTATATGAAGAGAGAATTTTGTATTAAACCATTTTGAATGTCCCGCCAGACTCATGGTGACTCATACTGAGGCAAAAGTAGTCGGAAACGAGACTCACGTAGTACTACCTTCCCCCCATTTCCCAAATTTTACAATAATTGAATAACTAGGATGTACTCAAGTAGAAGTGTGACTCTGCTAGGCGTGGGTTGTGGGGTGGGCATGGGCGTGGGGGCGTGCGTGGGCTGGGGTAGGTGAGGGGGCGGCACATCGACTAGTGTGGCCGTGACGTCCCCAGACCCTGGAGCCCGGACCGTACATTTCCACGCGTTGTTCACCCGCAGCTCGTGAAAAGGTTTTCTTTCTTTAGTTTTGTTTATTTTTTGTAAGTATTGCATCTGGATTTTTGGTTTGTGCATGTGACTGACATTACAACACGGCCGGGGAGGGGTGCGGGAGGCGGGTTGTGAGCCGGGAGAGGGAGGAGAGGCGAGAGAAAACCTCCCAACGTGTGCTGGAGACTTGACATTTGTTGAGGACCTCGCTGTCACTGGGACAGTTCCGGCCTCGCTGGGGGAGGGGGACACTTTGTGGCGTGTCCCGGGCTGCTGTGTGTGTCCCCGGGCACGTGGTGGTGCAGCAGGGGACAGGGAGCCAGCAGGGGGCAGAGGAGACGCACCAAGCTAGCTGGGGACACCACCTACTGTCACAGCTCTTACTCCGTCGCCAGACATATATATATATATATATATATATATATATATATATATATATATATATATATATATATATATATATATATGCAAACAAGCCTGAATGGTCCCCAGGACTATATACAACTGAAAACTCACACCCCAGAAGTGACTCGAACCCATACTCCCACAACTGGTATGTACAGGGACGCCTTAATCCGCTTGACCATCACGACCGGACAAAAGGAAGTGATAGCCGAGGCTATATGAACCACTTCCCCGCCGGCACTCGGATGGTAATCTTGGGCATAGCATTTTATCAAATCACCTCATTCTTTGGGGCACACGTGAGGAACACAAATGCAAACAAGCCTGAATGGTCCCCAGGACTATATACAACTGAAAACTCACTTGTGTTCCTCACGTGTGCCCCAAAGAATGAGGTGATTTGATAAAATGCTATGCCCAAGATTACCATCCGAGTGCCGGCGGGGAAGTGGTTCATATAGCCTCGGCTATCACTTCCTTTTGTCCGGTCGTGATGGTCAAGCGGATTAAGGCGTCCCTGTACATACCAGTTGTGGGAGTATGGGTTCGAGTCACTTCTGGGGTGTGAGTTTTCAGTTGTATATAGTCCTGGGGACCATTCAGGCTTGTTTGCATATATATATATATTTCTATATTAATTCTTATATTGTGTGAAGGTGTTGAGGGGCCTGACTGAGGGCAGCCTAAGTGAGTCTTATTAATAGTTAATCGTTAAGTTGCAAGTCAATTTAATTTAATTTTTAATATTCTTTCGATTAATTTTTGGTAAGAGTATTTTGGGTTATTTTTGTCTTGATTGTGAGTGTTGTAATGTCAGTCGGGGTGGCGCGGGGGGCACCGCCCCCAAACCTTCCATCACACCTATGGGCAGGCCTTACCTATTATATTTTTTTTTGTTGAGGCAGCGGCCGGACCCCAGCAGGACGGGAACGGCCAAAATGGCAGAATTGCGGACGACTAGAATAGAGGCGGTAGAGGTGTAGGGTAGAGGTGGTGTGTGTGTGTGTGTGTGTGTGTGTGTGTGTGTGTGTGTGGTGGTGCTGCTTTAGGGTCGGTGCTGGCGATGAACGTGTGTGGGGGGGGGTTAGATTATTAGATTATATTCATAGGCTGCGATGCATGCCATTTGTTTGTTTGTACTGTATTAGGCAGTTATTTTCCTAAGCTGTACAGGGATATGTCGGTCTAACCAAATTAAAATATTTCTAACCAAACGTATTAAGCAAGCATTTGCTCGACCACCTTCTATAAAAGAAAAAGATTGGGTGTTGAACGGAAAATCATTCCATTGCTACAGTGTACAGTACAGTATACTGATTATATAGTATGTGATATACAAATCACATGGTACATATATATGCTAGTAGATTTTAAAATCTTCCTAACCTGACCTAAACTAACCTTTCCCAAACCATCCCAACCCAACCTAACCCAACCTACCTCGAGATTACCTTGAGATGATTTGGGGCTTAGCGTACCCGCAGCTCGGTCGTCGACCAGGCCTCCTAACCCAAGGATACCTGGTTGATGGGGTTCTGGGAGTTCTTCTACTCCCCAAGCCCGGCCCGAGGCCAGGTTCGACTTGTGAGAGTTTGGTCCACCAGGCTGTTGCTTGGAGCAGCCCGCAGGCCCACATATCCACCACAACCCGGTTGGTCCGGCACTCCTTGGAGAAAACTATCTAGTTTTCTTAATGTAAAGTTTTGACAACCTGTAAAGGAGGTTATCTTGAGGTTATCTTGAGATGATTTCGGGGCTTTAGTGTCCCCGCGGCCCGGTCCTAGACCAGGCCTCCACCCCCAGGAAGCAGCCCGTGACAGCTGACTAACTCCCAGGTACCTATTTACTGCTAGGTAACGGGCATTCAGGGTGAAAGAAACTTTGCCCATTTGTTTCTGCCTCGTGCGGGAATCGAACCCGCGCCACAGAATTACAAGTCCTGCGCGCTATCCACCAGGCTACGAGGCCCCAGCTCCACCAGGCTACGAGGCGAGGCTTGTTAAAATGCTATTGTATGATATAACTGCCACCAAACTGTATTGTTGCATTTGTAGCAAGTTTATGCATTAACAGTAATGACTGATGTATTATATATTGAAGAAAGCCAACATTTATCTTTATTTGAAAGCCTTCATTGTAAACTAAAGTGGAGGGGGAGAGATGTTTTGGGTATATATAGTGCTACTGCGGTAGTAATTGTCGGAAGATGGTTCACAAGATGACCTGGACAAGCTGAAGGAATATTCTAGTAAATGGCTTCTAGAGTGTAACTCAAACAAGTGTAAAGTAATGAAAATAGTTGTAGGGAGCAGGAGGCCAGACACGAAGGCACCTATTGGAAGATAAAGCCCTTCAAGAAGCTGGTGGAGAGAAGGATCTGGAGGTTGTCTTGGGTCCTGTCTTCTGAGGCCCACATCAACAGTATACCCTCAGTGGTGTGGGCCAGGTTGGCGAACATTCTGAGGCCCACATCAACAGTATACCCTCAGTGGTGTGGGCCAGGTTGGCGAACATTCTGAGGCCCACATCAACAGTATACCCTCAGTGGTGTGGGCCAGGTTGGCCAACATTCTGAGGCCCACATCAACAGTATATCCTCGGTGGTGTGGGCCAGGTTGGCCAACATTCAGAGGCCCACATCAACAGTATACCCTCGGTGGTGTGGGCCAGGTTGGCTGACATTCTGAGGCCCACATCAACAGTACAGTATATCCTCAATGGTGTGGGCCAGGTTGGCCGACATAAGAACTGCCTTTAGGCACTTGAGTCAGGAATCATTTAGAACCTAAGTAGTTAGAGCATGAGAGCTACATTCTATTGAGTAGTTCTGTGTTCCTGTACGTAGTCTTACATAGAACAATGTGTGTGTGGTGCACATTGTATTATGCAGGTGAGGCGTCACAGTAATGTGGCTAAAAGCCTGAGCAAAGCACACAGCAGGAAATGAAACTATGACATTTTAGTCCATCCAGATAATGGTCCAGGATGGACGGAGTCATTTGTTCATTTTCTGACGTGTGGTTTGGTCATCACATTGTATTATAGCTGTAGTCAGAATTGAAACCAAATCTTGGGAAATATTTTTTCCTTGGAATTCATATTTCTCAGCCCTCATATTATGATGCACAATTCTTGAAATAATTTTTTTTTTATAAAAATATAAAACCTGAAAACATGGAACAAAAATATTTTAAAGAAATTCCATACTTGGAAAATAGTTTCATATTACTGTTCCTCATGTATTACTGTGTTAACAAAATTCCAATTTTGTTAGCCCTGAAATTTGGATACACGTTTCAATTTTTTTGTACAAATTTGGATACAAGTGTGTCTTCAATTTCTTGTTAGTTGAGAAACATGGTAAATATTTTCTTGCAGTAAAGCCCAATCACTTGGGGTGGACGGTAGAGCAGCCGTCTCGCTTCATGCAGGTCGGTGTTCAATCCTTGATCGTCCAAGTGGTTGGGCACCGTTCCTTTCCTCCGTCCTATCCCAAATCCTTATCCGGACTCCTTCCAAGTGCTATATAGTCACAATGTCTTAGTGCTTTCTCCTGATAGTTCCTTTACCCTTGTTGTAATAAAAACATCAGAAGTGGTCTTGAGTAATTACTCTGTATTTTGCATTAATGTTTGTGCACAATCTTGCCGCTTGCTCCAAAGTTCTTAAAAGTAATGACATGTGTAACAGTAAGGCTTATTTCATTAGTAGGTAATTATAGCCAGAAAAATGTCAATCTTTATAATTTTAGGGCTTTATAAGCAAACCACAATTCTCTAGCTTAAAAATTTAATTTGTCATACGACGTAAAGTGCATGCATCTCGGGTGAACCATATTTGTTACGACACGATCAGTTGTCTTAAGGGGCAAGTGTAGGAAGGATTAATAGTTTAATATTAGCTCCTCACAATATGCAGTCCAACTATCCTGGGCTGGCTTGGATGAGTGCAGTTTGGGATTAGAATCCTAGGTAGGTAGATTTAGAATTTTTCTATACTGTGCTGTCTTGACTAAATATTTTATAGACGGAATCTGTATCTAGTACAGTATTGATATTTAGTGTGCACGATTCATTTTCAATTCCTCAAGATAATACTGAAAGACGTTTGGGAAAAGTTTCCAGCCATTATCTGTTATATATAAGGAAAATTGTCATTTTAGGGACAATAAGTGAATTCACGGCTTCAAACATGTTCAGCTCTAGGAACTACTTTGCTGGGCCTAGGAACAATACCTTGGCTAAATGACTTGCTTAAACCCTTGGTCCCCCAACGTGTCCAACTGAAGGACACGTGCCTAAAAAATTCCAATAGTAAGATATTACTGTACTGTAGTTTTTAATTTATTAAATTTTTGTAAGTCATGTTTTGTTCCTAAATATGGATACAGCAAATAAAATATGAACAACTGTATAATAAACTGTAACCATTGTATGTTGAGAAGTTAGACAATTGCTGAACTTCATACTTCATGCTCATATTGGTACAGCATAGCCCTTGGGCCGAGGATTACCTATGATAACCAGAACATGGTAAAGACATGGTATGATAACCAAAGCATGGTAAGACATGGTATGATAACCAGAACATGGTAAAAGACATGGTATGATAACCAGAGCATGGTAAGACATGGTATGATAACCAGAACATGGTAAAAGACATGGTATGATAACCAGAGCATGGTCAAGACATGGTATGAAAACCAGAACATGGTCAAAAGACATGGTATGATAACCAGAACAAGGTAAAAGACATGGTATGATAACCAGAACAAGGTAAGACATGGTATGATAACCAGAACAAGGTAAAAGACATGGTATGATAACCAGAACAAGGTAAAAAAAGACATGGTATGATAACCAGAACAAGGTAAAAGACATGGTATGATAACCAGAACAAGGTAAAAGACATGGTATGATAACCAGAACAAGGTAAAAGACATGGTATGATAACCAGAACAAGGTAAAAGACATGGTATGATAACCAGAACAAGGTAAAAGACATGGTATGATAACCAGAACAAGGTAAAAGACATGGTATGATAACCAGAACAAGGTAAAAGACATGGTATGATAACCAGAACAAGGTAAAAGACATGGTATGATAACCAGAACAAGGTAAAAGACATGGTATGATAACCAGAACATGGTAAAAGACATGGTATGATAACCAGAACATGGTAAAAAGACATGGTATGATAACCAGAACATGGTCAAAAGACATGGTATGAAAACCAGAGCATGGTCAAAAGACATGGTATGATAACCAGAGCATGGTCAAGACATGGTATGAAAACCAGAACATGGTAAAAAGACATGGTATGATAACCAGAACAAGGTAAAAGACATGGTATGATAACCAGAACAAGGTAAAAGACATGGTATGATAACCAGAACAAGGTAAAAGACATGGTATGATAACCAGAACAAGGTAAAAGACATGGTATGATAACCAGAACAAGGTAAAAGACATGGTATGATAACCAGAACATGGTAAAAGACATGGTATGATAACCAGAACAAGGTAAAAGACATGGTATGATAACCAGAACAAGGTAAAAGACATGGTATGATAACCAGAACATGGTATGATAACCAGAACATGGTAAAAAGACGTGGTTTTATACATCATTACTGAGCATGTCTGCTTCACAAGTGTTAGTTAACATCTGTTTACAACAAGGTTTTAAATGACTTGTCTGGATTCTAAAATGAGACATTGAATGTGTTATACGTGTTGATACAGGCTGTCGACAGGCCGCTTGGCCCTGAATAACAAGGCGAGGGAAGTATTGCCCCTGGTTTCTAGGCATTTTTTTTTTTTTAGTACATTATGGTATTTTGACCATACCTTTTGTGTACAGGTTATAAGTTTTATACCAGTGGGAGACTGCATAATCTAATTCAGTGACAATGTTCTGACATGCCGACACACAGGGTAGGCTCCATATAAATTACTAAACTGCTTAGAGAGAAGAAATATTTCACACGCGTTTATAGTTTGAATAAATCGTTTGTAATTCTGAAGACTGAGCATTTGTTTAAAACCATTTACAGTCAAATGATTTCCCATTTACAACTTGCTGTTTTTGTTTCTGAATTTACAACTTACGTAACGAGATATTCCACTGTCAATTTTTCTTTGTCATAGTTTTTGGTATAATGATATTTAATTTTCAGAGTGTTGAGTATAATTGAATATGTCAGGGAATGCCAATATAACAGGAGGCAAGAGCATGGTTATAAAACAGGGAGAGCCTCCCGGGGACTCAAAGAAAGAAGGTTGGTGCCGCAGGTAGATAGATGATGATTGTATATGCAGAATATTGGGCACAATTATATATATGGTGGTGTTTGTTCCAAGTAATTCCTAGCTTTAGTAAGTACAGTATTGGCTTAGTGTACACTTGTGGAGGCACATTTAGTGAATATTGAAGACAGTGCTACAAGTATATTGTTTGCGTAAATGTGGCAGATACAGTGCTTGAGGGTATGTGAAATTCTGTATACAGTTTATGCAACTGGTAACCAAGAGTACAAGTTAAGTGGTTGCTGAGATATATGTACTGCACTGGAGTACTGGAGGTCAAAGGTTAGGCTATGACCCCTCCTCAACTACCAGCTAGCTATCGTTGGGGAAGGCTTTACGGAGTGGTCTGTAAACTAGTCTCGCGTAGTGTGATACTGTTCAGTACTTGCTTTAGCAGAGTTGCGATAGGTACGCCGAGGGAAGCAAAGCGCAGTGAAAAACTTAGTTTAAAGAAAGTTTAAACATAACATTGGGATAAAAGTTAACTTCAGCTATACTGTATTTGGTAGCATTTGGATTATGGCTTGCATCTTAAGATGAGTTTAGATAAATACAGACCATTGGTCACTCTACAAAGGGTTAGTACATCTCTCGGTTATAATAATAATGTAAAGTGAATCCACTTGAACATTTTAGATTAGTGTTATATTGTATTATAGTTTCAAAGTTGGTCACTAGATTGGTGTGTGTAGGAGTAAGCCCAGGAAAGAATGGGCCACATTTGGCAAATAAAGGTGGTGTTTATATATACATGACAGCACTGGGGGGGGGTAATGTTATGTCTAGTATTTATCACTGTTTTTTATGCATGTAGCACTTTCCTTTCTTAAAGCATTTAAATGCATAATTATTTGGCAAGCTTTCAGTGTGTGTTGTACCAAATAGCCAGAATGCACTACAGTACTTAGCCAAGTATGCAAAGCCCGATTTGCCTAACAGGCAGTGATTATCATTATTTAAAAAAAAATGAGTTTACTTTAATCAATATTATATTAAGAACATGAATTGCAGACTTGGTTAGGTTTGATAAAATTTCTTTGTCTTAACTCAAATTAAACTAAAAATCTTATAATAGAAAGCTTTTCATTTCATAGGAAATTTTTTCGAAATATATATAATTTTCGGAAAACTCTTGCTTGTTTTAAGCAACGTGTACACGATTAATAATTTTTTGTATATATGTACAGTACTGTATTTCATTTATTTATTTTTGTATTTTGCAGTTTGCATTCTAATTCTTGTGCTGTAATATATTTTTGCATGATAGTCATTAATTATGTAAAGCACTGTAGTAGTTACATAGTCATACTGTACACAAGTCTGCCCAGCTTGGCATCTTTGATAATTACTTAGTGCTGATGTAATTATAGTTGCCAGCTTGGGCCAGATGGACAAGGCAAAGATTCACCCTTTCTGTTCATCCTATTCCAAGGTTTTGGTGGTTTTTGGGTAAATAGTATTTAGTTTGTGGTGCACTATGCTGTACTTCCATTCATAGCTGCTTATTTGTACAAATTTATATTAATATATATATATATATATATAATTTTTATTTATTTTAGTCTATATGAAATGACAGTAATGTGATACATCACGTTAATATAGTCTATATGCCGACAGTGAATGTGAACTTTTATTTTGGAGACATTGATTGCCACATGGTTGATTGCTTTTTCAGTTTTTGTTTGAATTGCCATGTTTGTCCTACGAGTCTAAACAGGTGATGCTCAGTGCACCTCAAGTTAGTTTTACACAGCAATGGTGTTAGTACACAAGTTTTCTTTATGTATATATTCAGTGGAGCCTCGATTCAGGGAATCTCGGGCTGGAATGCACACTTTCCAGCCTGTATTTACTCACTCGATTCCACGAACTCTTGTTGCTGAAGTTGGGGATGTGCGGATTTGCTTTTTAGGCTGTTGGGGCGAGTTCACAGACTGGTGGAAAACTTATGGATCATATCATAGGTTACAAATTAAAGATTTCCTTAATGAAATCAGCCCATAGGGCATGGGAAACATTAGGGTAAGAATGGTAACTGTTAATATTGCTTCAATCAGGTTTTTTAGGATTTTCGTAGATGAGCGCAACATTAGAAGAAAGAGTTGGAGCCCTGGGAAGATCATTGAGCGCATTTAAAACCAAATTCTATGGTTTGTTTTCATTTTGAGATTTCCCAGTTTTCGTTCACAAATATGGGCCTCCTGGAGCAATCTCTGGTTGCAACGAATCGGTGTTGGTCCAAATAATTCGTTGAATTGAGGGTGCACTGTACATGTTATTTTATGGAATAGGGCATATATTTTGAGTTCTTGCTTGGACGAGTTGTAGAATTATAGTTGGGATATTTGGTGTCAGTCTCCGTGGTGTAGTGGTAAGACACTCGCCTGGCGTTCCGCAAGCGCTATGTCATGGGTTCGTATCCTGGCCGGGGAGGATTTACTGGGCGCAATTCCTTAACTGTAGCCTCTGTTTAACGCAACAGTAAAATGTGTACTTGGATGAAAAAACGATTCTTCGCGGCAGGGGATCGTATTCCAGGGACCTGCCCGAAACGCTACGCGTACTAGTGGCTGTACAAGAATGTAACAACTCTTGTATATATCTCAAAAACAAAAAACAAAAAAAAAAATTGTAAATATTGTGCTTGGCTTATACATTCAATATGTACTCTGTGGCCTACAGGAACAAACTGCAGTAAGCGGATATCTGATCCTGGATTGGATATTAATTTTCAAATAGTTACTCTGGCTTAACCTGTTCTTTTATAGTGGTAAAGGCTATAATAGAATAGTTGTGATATTTGTTGAGCTATGCTAAGGTAGTTACATGTTATAAGGAGCTCTGGTGGTGGGCTAATTTCCAGGCATTACCAGGTATTACCAACTAGAGATGCAGGAGGGACATAGTCCCAGAACCATCACATGGTAAATACAGTACAGTACTGTGCCACAACACTCTACATGCTCCGTATTATTCTTTGGTCTTTCTTTTGCCTACTTACAATGTCAAATTTTTAGTAGTTTTATTTTAGCAAATTATGTAACTTGACATATAAACAATGAATTTGCTTGTATATAAACATTTATTCTCCTATAATGTGCTAAAAAAATGATCTTTTTGAGAGTTTTGCTTACTGTAATACTGTTTTTTCAACATTTTACATAACTATAACTGTAATGGTCCATTATTAAAGAGTTAAGAATTTGGAGTATGTGTACTAGTAGTGTTCAAGAATTTTATAAAAGTGAACAAATAAAGCGAAAATTCCTGTTGCAAAAGCAAGCAAACTAGAATGACATTGTGAACTAAAATGTATACATGATGGTAGCACTGCTTGAAGAAACAGCATGTCACCATGAGATGAACAGGCCCTGCGACTTGACACTATAGCGGTTGACCTGAAAGCTGATCATCTTGCCATATTATGCTGTTCATTGTTATTGGCTCCTTTTAATCTTAGGATAAAAATGTTCGCTTGAGTCAGAGCTTTCCTTCCCTTTCCAGCCCGTTAGTGTCGTGGCTTGGTGGGCGGCTGCCGGGGTGTGATGGTCCATGGGACAGTGATCTTTGTAGTTTTGAAGCCTTATGCTCCTGCTGTCATCTTCACTAATTGTGCTGGATGCTTTTTCCTCTTATGTTTCATCTTTTCCCCTCCCCTCCTTTCTCCTTTCTGATTATTTACTGCTGAAATTTTGCCATTTATGATTATTCTTTCATGTGTCTTCTGTTTTGATGCCGGGTGTTTGAGGAGGCGCATACACTCGCCTGTAAAACTGCGGTTCCTGACATTGTCGGGCAAGGGGACACTTTTATTGTCAGTCTTTGCCTTCGTTGCTGAGCCTGATCTTGACGGACTGACGGTTCTTAAGGTGACGAGTGCGGGGGTGTATACCCACGTTACACCCCTGAGGGGGACCTGTCTTGTCCTCTAATTGTGGACAATGTGACTATCTCATCATCTGGAGTGGTTCCATCTCATTGTAACAACTGTGCCTTCCCCCCCCCCCCCATCCCCCCCTCTTACTGGGTGTGCTTGATGTTGTCACCTTTGCAGTAGCACTCACACAATTCCTTCTGGTTCTAATATGTTCCAAGCATTGTTTGGTCCTGCTACATGACAAAGTATTTTGATCTCAATCATGTTGATTCTACACATCCTGATGATTTATTCATCCATAACCTAGTTGATTCGGTGGATACCTTTTTCACTTTTTACCCCACCCTTACTAGTACTTGTGTTGTTGCAGCTCCTTAAAGGAAGCGGCTGGCCACTTGGCCTCGTTGTTCTGCATTGGGGAAACCCCCTGTTTGGATCTCCAAAATTGCTCGGTTAAATGCCAGCATTACCACACTTACTCTCCCACACCATGTTAGGATTGGTGATAGGGAACTGAAAGACTGCCACGAGGATATTAAACATATCCTTGAGGCCCAAGGCCATTATATCCTCCAGGATTGATACGTTCACTCGACCCCCCCTTCCCTGTGGTGGTGGTGGTGGTGGTGGTGGTGGTCGTGGTCGTCAGCCTTACCTCGCATAGTGAAGATCACTTTTGGCCATGGCCTTCATTGCCACCTTATCACAGAGGCCATATCCTCTTCACATAGTGAAGATCACTTTTGATAGTAGGTCCCTTCCGTCTTCCGTAATTCTTGCTGGTACCAGATGCGCCGTTCAGAAGTACATCCCCTTTTCTCACCTCTGCAATAGGTGTTGGAAATTTGGGCATGGTCATGGCCTCTTGTGTGAAGACTCAGGTCATTCTAGAACAGTGCTCTTCTTGCCAAGCTTACTGCATCAATCGTAGTGGCGCCCAGTCTACCTTCTCCCGTGCATGTGTGCACTACAAATTTGAGGAAGCCTCAATTTGAAACATTAAGATCATTTATCTTCTCCTGAGGCATGGCACCAAGTGTGCCGTCTTCCCTCTTTCTCTGGCCTGTCTTATGCTCGTCCGTTGCGTTCCAC